TTTAAGGTTTTAAGTGGATTCAATGACAAAAAATCAATAAACTAATTCAAGAAGTTTCCCTTAATTTAACTTCAATCATTATCTCAATTAATATAAATCATTGGAATATTATTCAATAATTTGGGTCCACAAAGTCAATAAAACTTCATGGCTTACGATTCAAATTATATCGTCATGATTACGTACGGGATGCGATAAATGTCATATTTTAAAATATTTATCAACAAACAATAAAATGACAATCACTTGTTAAATTGTCAAAACTATGGAATAAGTGCATGAAAATCAATTTTATTTAATGCTGTAGCACCGAAACATTGACCGAGAAAATTCAATTTTCACGTTTTATTAAATGATGATACCCAATACCATGCTACTTCCATTTTCAAAAAAAATATATAACAAACAATCAACTAGATGGAACTAATTGATTTAGGAAAATTTCTATGACAAGGAATTATTTTTAATTTCTTAAGAAATCCTGACGTTCAACAACTGCTCATTTACTTCTTCTTTTCTATCCACCCAAAAGAAAATCATTAATGCATTACGAATTTGTGGAACAGATAAATAACAAAAATGCATTCATATAGATTCTAAACGGGAAATTTTCTATGGGATATTCTGATATCCATAACGAATATGGTTTAGTAATGCTTCATTGCTGTCTTTTATTTTCACTAAAAGGTGCAAAATCTTATGTTTTTGATAAAGTTCAGCAATTAAAAGTGATAAATCCTTGATAGGATAATAATTAATGAACAAAATTCTTTAAAATGCCACCAAAGAACTTTTGCCACCTTAGTTACGTTTTTGCTTTTAGAAATGCGGTAGATCATGATGCAAACTGTAGGCTAACAGCATCTTGTTGACATATAGCACATCAGCATAGGCATAGATTTCTAAAAACTCAATTGATTGCTCCTGAATACACAAAATTCTTTATTTTTTAAAAAAAGGACATAGAAACGTGCTCCTTTCAATTTGGTCTACTAAATAGAGACACAATTCGTTCCATTTCAATGCTAATGAAAAGTGTTGAAGTAAAAGGCAAAAGGAAGAAAAATGGCAAATAATGACTCTGAAAGAAGCTAAATTCTATAGAACCAAAAACTATATTTTTTGCCTTTTTTCTTTCCTTTTTATTCTTTCCAAAAATCATATTTATGTATCGAAAACAATAAGTTCAAATATCCTTTACAAATTTACCGTTCAAATGGTGATCTTTTCAAATTACAAATCAGAATTGCTCCGCGATTTGTTATGGATTAAAGATTTTAAATGAAATTATGGCTTTAAAATACTTACTTAGTACCTATTATACTTATTTTTTGTTGTGATGTGCAGATGGATCTTGTTTTGTAATTTATTTCGTTTTTTATTCAAACAATTTTAATTTTCCCAAACTTTATAAACGAATGCAATTTTATGCACTTCCAAAAGTTGTTTTCCAGGAAATTAAAAAAAAATGATTTTAAGCATGTGGAAGCAAATTTCAAGGCGCTTGGATTTATAATAATAATAATAATAATAGTTTATTACTAGAGGTATTTAGATAATTTGATATGTATAATACAACGATACAGAATGTGAAGAGATAATATAATAAAACATTTAGAAAATTTATTATTTGTTAAAAATGAGGAACTTGAGCATGGCACTAAATTTGAATCGGGTTTGCTTTGAAGTTTCGCGGAAAGACATAGCTTTTAAACGTGAGTTAAATTGTGGCGCTTTAGAATCGACGCTTTTATAAAGCAAACTTCAAGACGCTTGGATTTCTATTGTCTCCATCGTGTATATGCCTTGACAAGCTTAAAACAAGGTGAAATGCGTAAAGACTAGCTTAAGGCTTGCAAAAAAAACTATACACGCTTCTGGTTACTAGGTTTTAAATTTGGAGTTACACAAAACATGAAACGATGCTGTAGAGAGTTAGAAAACTCACTTCTCCTTGTTATACTCTGTTTTATATTTCTTGATAAGTGAAACCTAATAGAAGATTCTTAATTTATGCCGGAAAAATAAATTATCGGATTTTTTTAATTATCAAGGAAAGATATTAAACTCTTAATTGGTTTCAATTGAAATTAAGAAATTTGTGAGCCTGAATGTCTTTAAAGTATATTCTAGAGAACATTTATACATAAAATAATTATGGTATGATCAATGACAATATTAATTCACCCATCTTTAATTATGAGTATCTAATGTATTCAACAGTTTTAAAGTATAATATAATAATGAATATTTGATAAAAAATCTATTTCTTCTAGCAAGGAATTCTAAACGAAACTTTATTACTATTTTTATATTCATGTCGCAATTAGCGTTTTCAATCCCGGGATTGAAATGTATGTCAGCAAGAAAAGAACAATAGAAATTCCTGGAAATCCATTGTTCTTTTTTGAAAAATGACCGTTAATTTCGGACGTCATAAGTGAACGACCCCTTGAGGCATTGTTGAGAAAAACGCAAAAAAAGCTTTCTGTTGGAACAATCGAATTTTGCAATCGATTCGTGTTGCTCTATACATAAGACTTTTGATGGTACGGTGTGAATATATCCGCATTGGGTTTCTACTCGATACACTAGGCCGTTCACTTATTACGTTCGCATTTTAGGGGTGAGGGGGTGAAAAAAGTCGTTTTTTTGCGTAACGGCCCCCTAGTAAAATTTGAAATTTGCTGTTTGACTTTTCATAAGGGGAATATTTTTTTTTGCTTTTCGGATTCAATGTTCTTTTCAGCAAATTTTTAAGAGGTAATTGTATATTTGGTTCCATAAAATTTAGATTTGGTCAATCATATTTAAATTTTTGTTTTCAAGACTGAGCTTACAAATTTCTCAAAAAAATCAATGAAGGAAATTATTCTAAAACGGAGTTTAGTAATACACTTTAAAATTCAACAAAACTGCTAAGATCAACAGTTAACAATGACAAAGCGTAAAAAAGGTTTGTAATATGCAACAAAATCAGGGTGGGAATTTATTATTATTATTTTATTATTATCTTTCTTTCTTTTTAAAAGGAAAAAGCCCATTTAACCACATTTAGTGAGTTAAACAAGCATAAAAAACCTTTTAAATAAAACGGAGAATTACATTTATGCATTACAATACAAAGGAACTTTTTAATAATTAATACATTCTCAATAATAACTTAAAGAGTTTCAACGCAATAAATTGCCATTAAGAAATCTCTTTGAATAAATGATTTATAAGCTCGTTAAATAACGGTCTCAAAGAATTCAAAATCAGATCTACCAGCCCTAAAAATAATTTCTACTCATTACATCTTCTCGGTATAAAAAGTTTATCCTCTCAGTTTGTTTTAAATCATAAATCAAAATCAAAATCATTTTGTAATGATTTGAAAAATGATTTTTGATTTAAATCATTTTGCCCAAGTGATTTATTTTTGATTTATGATTTAAATCATTTTGTATGAAAGATTTTTTTGTGATTTATGATTTAAATCACATTGTATGGGGATTTTTTTTGGGATTTTAAATCACTTGAAGGTGAAAATTTGTTTCATACAAAATGATTTAAATCATTAATCATAAATAAATCACTTGGGTAAAATGATTTAAATCAAAAATCATTTTTAAAATCATTATTATGTGAGATTTAAATCAAAAATCACAATTTGATTTGGGATTTTGATTTAAATCGCAAAAAACTCCCCCACCCTGAACAAAATACATAGGAAATAAAGCAAAAAACATCGTGTGCATTGAAAGTGCAAACAAAATTATAAAACTAGATGAGAACTAATAATATTAATACAAATGTAATGCTCAACATTTTCAAAGAAAAAACTTATAAAGACTCAAAACATGAATTTTTTTATTATATATATATTTTCAGTTTTAAGGCCCAAATAGTTTTATAAATCAAGTATTAAAACTATGAAAAAAAATTAAAAAAGGCTGCACTTTGGTCTACTATGCCTGCACCTTCAGTACTTTATTGCACTTTGTTGCAATTCATTGCACTTTTCTCAACTTTGCTGCACTTCATTGCACTTTACTCTACTTCATTCTACTTTGTTGCACTTTTCTCAATTTTATTCTACTTTGAAGCACTTTATTGCATTTTTCAATAAATTTTTGCACTTTTTGAGGATCCCTCACCCCTTGCTTTAAACCTTTAAAGGACGGTGTGAATTTATATGAATGGGTTTCTACCCGATACACTAATCTGTTATCTTTTTGTTTTGATTACTTTGAAAAGGTGCTGAGTACGGAAGCTGCAGAAATAATGTTGTTGTGATTTTGATCCGAATTAGCTTTTTTTTTTGTTATAAGCTAGCAGCTTAGTAGAATAAAAAAGCGAATTAAAATCTTAATTTTCTGGCACTGACTAAGTTGATTATTAACTCTGCTTAAATTAAGGAATTAGTGAATTAGCATCGAATAGTATTGCACCAAAGAAGCTTTTATTTTTTTAAAGGAAATAAAATAGCTTAAATCTGATTCAAATTGTCTAATAAAATAAAAAGCCAAAAAAAGCTTTAAAAATTGCTAATAAGAAACACACCAAAATCATTCAATTATATTCTAGTAAGAAATGAATGACTTTAAAAGCATGAATTTGGCGGGACATAGTTTTAAAATAAGAATACAGAATGGAAAAAAAAACAAGAATGAAATAAGGACGAATAAAATTATGCCAAAAATATAAACATAAACAATGAGGAACACGTGTTGCGCATACTGACTCATATGATCATCATTAAAAATTCTTTCTACTGAAAATGAAGTAATTTAAAAAAACTGGAATTGTGAAGAAGAAATTAAGAACAGACATAATGTTTTTTTTTGTGTAAAATTTAATTTTCTTATTTTATTTTATTGGAAGACATTCGATTAATTTTAAGTATCTTAAAGAACTAATTAAAGCTGAAGAAATCATCACTAATTGTTACGAAAATCACAATATTTTTCGTTTCTTTCATTTGAGATCAAAGGAAGAACATTTTTGTTTTTTTAAAACTTTTTATATGGCACATGATGTTGACGATGATGTATGCAGCTTATGCTTGAACCCATCTATCATAATCGTGTGATTGTTGTTGTGGTAATTGACGATTTGATGTGCAATCTTTTGAATCAATAAGATCGCTATCGTATCGTTGTGTTGTTGTCCAGAAGAAGGTACCACCTTCGGTTCTTGCGAAATGAACTGGCACATAAATTTCTTCACTGCTCATCGGTGTCAATTGGCAGTTATTTTCTTCATCATAGACATAAATTGCTGAGTTTTCATCACAGGATTTGATTTCATCGATTATTCTTGTTTCCAATTCTTCATTAAATTGATTGTTGTCAATTTCGTGTGTGTAGCTGTAGATGTAATCATCGCTGTACATTTGTTCATCCTCATAATCATATGAGTAGTTTTTACACTTGCACACTGTTTTTGTTGTTGTCAATTTTGTTGTTCCTAGTGATGATTTTGTAGTATTATTTTGTTTGATGATATTCATGAGTGGCTTCAATAACTTTTTCAATCTATAGCTTGGTGATCTTTTGAATTTCTGATCATTTACTGTATTCTCGTTGATGCTGTTGTTGCTTGAGATAATGTATTCGTTGTAATAAACTGATTGATCCATTTTTTTGTTTGGATATTTTTACGTAATATATTTTTTAAATAATTTTCTTAGTCTTCAACACTTGTTGAGCTTCGTAAAGTTGTTTCAAATCTGAATGAATCCTCAGCACTTGCTGTTCCTTTTATACTTTTCAGTGAGGGTGAAATTCAATCTTTCTATCTCTTTTGCTCATTCTTACATTTCATATACAAAATCTTGTTCGCCTATTTTCCATCTCACTCTTACATACATGAACGCATAATAGAGTAAATCTAACGAATCAGAAGCGAGATATAGGGGCAGGTGTTGCACAACAAAATAAGGCTCTGTTTGATTCTGTGGGAAAATGTTTCGTTCCTCGCTCTCACCGAAAAAAGATTGTATTCATTTCAATTTTTTGCGGCAGATGGTTGACGGAGGGTGATTTTCATGCATTTATTCATATATGAATAACAGCTCATGGGATATGAATTGAGAGAAGATAATATATTTATTATAAGTAGTGATGCATGCAATACAATTAAGTATCGAAATCCTTTTCACTTACTTTTGAACTTACTTTCTCGTTATTTCCCCTATTAGACATGCCATTTAATTGTTTACGAATAAACTTACAGCATCAATTCATTTAGGGCTTATTAATTGCTCTCTACGCGACAAGTGAATATTTAATCTATCAGAGGGGTCGAGATTTGATATAAAGTGTGCTCTACACTTGCCCTTAATGAATTTATGGGAAAAATTGTTACAATCAAGTGCGTGTGAACGTGTTGATGCTTCTGAGCATTAATAAGGAAGGGATTGCAAATGGTAAGGAAAGAAGGAATAACAACATGAGTTTGCATATATTAAAAAATTATGTTTATGGGGCTTGTTTCGCATAAGTAATAAGTAATTAGGAAAAAGCCATAAAGTACACATGTAAATGCACCGGACCTGAAAGATTATAAAATACAAAATGTTTATGCATTTCTCACGTGCATTTTCACTTGCTTATGTATGCTAATATAGAGAGAAAGATTTTTAAGGTGATTTCGAACCTGATTTATGTTAATTTTATGTTTAAGGATATTTGTTTATAGACCTGTGAAAATGAAACATAAATTAAGGATGATGGAAGCTTTAAAGTGTGGGAACGTAAGTGAGAATCTTTCATAATAACAATAGGAATCGTCCTTTAGTTTACCTGCCTTTTTGCCCATTACAACATTAACATTAAATTGTGTTTTGTTCTTCTCAAAGATACCTGTTGTGCTGATGCAATGAAAACCTTTTTTCATCAATTTCTTCTCATATTTTATGTAGAATTTCGATCCTCGTTCCCACACTTTTTCTGTCTCACTGAGACATTACATTGATTGTCCTTTTTTATCCATTCAATTTATACAATTTATTGGTTGCTTGTTGTGTGAGAATTAGAAACAGTTAAGCTAACAATGTCCTTTTATGTGCTAGTTAATTTTCACATTGAAATTAATGTTTTTAAGGGATTTATTGGATGTTACAATTTCATGAGTCATATCTATACATTCAGTTCTACTCGTCCGATTAAAATTGAGAGGAAATCCAACAGTCTTCCTATGTAGCTATAAAATAATTGTTAAAAAAGCCATGAATCACGTTCTTGAATCCTGTTTCTTAAAAAACCACCCTTGCTTAATATAGCGATGAGAAATTTTCTTTTAAATCTCACGTTTTATGGTCAGACTGTTTTTGCCATTAAGGAGAACTGTAAATAAACAGGAAGTGTACCTTTTGTAAATTTTAAAAAATTATCAACTCAATTGTGCTAGAATGAGGATTAGATAATTCTTTTCTCCTTTTTTTCTGTGCAGATATAGCATTTCAAGTAAACTTTCTTTAGTTTACTTTTTTTTATTATTTCTCATGTGACCATGCGTACAAAAGATTTAAATGCATAAAGGACAGGAAATAGAAACTTCTCATAATTTTTTATTATTTTGCTTCGAGTATTCATTTTAAATAGCACGTACGAGCACAAATGATCCGTACAAATGAAATAATTGACATTCATGCATACAGAAATCTGATAAAAAAACTTTTCTAAGTAAAAGAGATCTTTTGTTGTTCCTTAACAGAAGTAAATGAGGTAAGTAAGTATTTATAAACAATGTAATGAAATGAAACACGAGATTGGTAAGTTTAAGGACCAAATTTTCATAATGAACAATTACTTAAAGAAGTACTCCTGAGAAATTTCGGATCATGCAATTTATTATATAATTGAAGCATATCAAATGTCCTGAAATTAAATAATCGCATGCGGACCAAATCAGTTTATTTATTTTTATTTCAGGAACAAGCAGTAAAATTAAGGAATAGGATTCAAACGACCTTCCAATTAAATCAATATAAAATAATTAGAACCTTATATTTTTTCCCATTATTGATCATCATTTGTACTAATCTAATCCAATTAGAAAATTTGAAAAACTTTGATTAACTACTAGGAAGTGAGCAATTGAAGGGAATGAGGATCATTATTTTATTGATGCATCTCTTATTGTTTGAAATTGTTAACCAATTAACAATATGTGAATGGAGGAGATGTTAAACAGACCATACCGCATTTTAATGCATTTACCTACTTCAAATGAAATACATCTAGTTAAATGTCATAAAATCTGATAGTAAAGAATTACCAGTGAACTGTAAAAGTACATAACTATCTATTACTACTCACATTTTTATCTTGAAGAATTTGTATTAGTCAACCGCAATTTTCTATATCCATTTATGCTTTTCCGAAAAAAAATGTGACAAATATTTATAAAATTCCTAAAACATTCCTTGCTTGCCATTAAAACTGTATTTAGATCACACATAAAAAAACATTTAAACTGTTGATTATAACTTCTTAAGCCACAACAATAAACAAGCAACAAAACTTGCGTATTGCATAACCACTTGTATTGACATTTGCTGAAATTCATGGCGCAATTCATTCATTCATTCATCATTACCTCTTCTCACATTGTTCTTCCATTCTTAAAAATTAAGTGGAAGCACGTTGTTGTACCAACATTCCATAACAATTACAATTCAGTAGAAAAATTTCTATACATAGAATATGAGGTGAGGAGAGTAAAGTTAATTAATGAAAATGAGGAATTCCAACATGCTCGATGAGGTGTGCTATTATTGTGTATAGATAGAATATAGGGGATAATATTCAAGAGCAGTAGTTGATTACTAGCAAATAAATTATTCACACACGTATAGCACACGAATTAATTTCCTTCATTCTTCCGTTTCTCTTCGTATTTCATTTTCTCATATCAGCCTAAAGTCATACCCCACGTTAACACCATATGCCATCATCATAATCAAATCGTGTCTGAATCATTCTACTGGAATTCTTGTGCGCAGCTTTCATTTTTTCCCATGATTCTCCTTCCTTCTGTTTTTTTTTTCTTTTGGCCTTCTTCTTCTTCTTCTTTTTCAATTACAATTAATTTTTTCAACGCTCAATAACAATAATATTCCGGTGTTGTTATTTGAATGAGATACAAATATAAAAGAAGAGTCCCTTTCATAATTTTCTTTCTCTTTCTCATCCACATATTCATATGTACATGAAACTCAGCCACAATCGTAATCTTTTGACAAACATCAGCTCATTTTTGTCTTGCCCTTTTTCCATTAAATAAGAATAAGAAGTGAACATATATATGAAAAAAAATATTGTCGAAGAAATCCATGGGAACTTTTAGCATGTGTTCAACAAAACTCTTCAGAAATGCTTCACTTTTTTTTTATTTTCTTAATGCTTCTCAATATATTGGGTCTGTCGTGTTTATTCGTTATTTTTGAAGCCTCTTAATATGAACATTGTGTTGTCAGATGAACATGGATAAAATATATATACAGCTTGATGCAGCGGCAATTTTAATATATTTAAAATGTTTGTTATTTCATTCAATTTATCCATTTTACTTATATGTGCTTGTTTATGAACCGCTTTCTTATAGTTCGTGCTCTACACACTTTATGTTGTCTTCTCTCGCCTTTCCATTAATAATAACATTTTAAGAGACTTTTGTATGTTATTAGAGATGGAAGTTTTCGATAAGCAGATAATATTTTGAAAGTAAGATGATAATTAGCGATGAAGCAAGTAAATACATTTAAATGTAAATAACAGCATGTCATTTATTAGGTAATTAATTCATTTTGAAGTGTTTCATTCATCGCTTTAATGTTATGCCAATTAGCTTCAATACATTGTATGTATTTCAGAGCTTTAGTTCTTTTTTTGCACAAATTAAAAACTTAAATTTTTGGGAGAAAAATAATTTTTTAAAAAATAAAATGACAAAAATTACGAGACATTAAAAGATCAATAATTATGGTTATTAAGAGACAATAATTGCCTCAAGATTTTAATAGCTAATTTGACATTCATTTAAAATTGCCTTAAAAACACTGTTTCATTCTTAAAATTTTGAGAAGATCATTCATAATTATTTAGTATGATATTTCATCATCATAAAAACATGTGCACATGCTTAAAATATTCATCAAGCGAAAAGAAAAGTGAAAGAAGAAGAACATGCGACAAGTCTCTGCACAGTCAACGTAGTCTTTTCATATCGTGGGAAAGAAAAAGCCATCAGAATTTACGCATTCTGAATTTCATGAAAAGATATTTTTGGTTGCTTGCTTCTCCTTTTTTTTTGCTGTGTACTTAAATTACATTGAAATATTTTGTAAGAGGAGATGTTTTGGAGAATTTTTCTTTGCTCTTTTTTGCACAAAGTAGACTCACTTATGCACTGTGTTAAGTGGAAGTAAATGGGGTTTTATGTTTCCATCCTGTTTCATCATCATTTTCTTTAATTTCATCTTTCTTGACATCTATAGCTGTTTGACCATAAAAAAAGAGATAAAATTTCTTCGACCATAAACAATCGAAAATAAATTCAAAATCACTATATTTTTAGCGTCCTCATATGAGCGTTTTTAATGAGATTTCAGGAGTTGGATGTCTCTTGAATAAATTACATTCATTTCGAATGCGATCGCTCGTGGCAAAAATTGATAATTTGGAGACAAATATCTTTGAATTCTAAATGAATAAATTTTAATAATATTAAATCTCTATGTATTTATTTTTAGTTTTTATATTTCAAGATAAAATTATTGCATAGCTTACGATATGATATAAGCGCCAAGACTAGACGATAAGCAGTTTTCTATTATTGTCAAATGTTCCATCCAATTACTTCAAAGAATCATTGTGTAAATATCTATTATTTATTATTGAATAGTTTCGTATCGATAGCTACAGATCATACATATCTCAAATGCGACAATGTCCCTTTAAACATTCCCATAGAAAACTCATTCTGTATGAGTCATATATGACTTTAATATTTTTTGTCAAATTAAAATGTAATCAAATGTAATTACAGCATTTTTGTTGTGTGCATAAACAGGAAGTATTAGTAGATTAAGAGAGTTAAATTGAGAACCCATTAATTCCCCGGTGTGCTTTAAAAGCATGGTCGTAATGTTTTGTTCATCTATCACTTTATTATCATACAAATAAATTGAATAAACGAGAGAAAAGAGTCATCAACCTCCATCAAGATCCATTTATTTCATTCATTCAAAAAATAAAATAAAAAAAATGCTCGTGCGATCCAAAAATAAAATGCCGCCAGTCAGTATTCACAAGGCTAGTTAGTGAGCAAGATTATAGCAGCACAGATGATGATAATAAACATTTACATATATTTATTCAAAAACATAATCTCCAACTTCCTTTTCAACGACGAAATCAATCACGCTTATTTCATTTTGCCACTTGAATTGAAATTGAGTGCTATTGCCCTCGCATCACATCTCTAAACGTTGTCAACTAAGCTAATTTAAATAACCATTTGGTTTGATGTATCATTAATATAACAGCATTAAGTACTTAATAATTTTTTATGCAATGGAATTTCTTATTTTTCTATAAAATATCGAAACATCCGCTGATTTGTGCATAAGCATTTATAGTCACAGAGTCTCATTCAATAAATTAATAATCATTTTATGTTATTATAGTATAACAATATTAGCACACGCCGTCCACACTCTACATATTCATTAAGCAATGTATACAAACAGAAACCTCATTCATAGCTGAGCGCGTTGTGCCTTTAACACGACCGTACAACATACTAAAGTTCCCCTCATTCATTTGTACTTACTGTATGTAGTCCGCTTGCCGCTATGACTGTTGTTACTGACAATCAATAAATAAAAAAATAACAATTCCATATAAGAAGGAATATGAGATTACGATATATATATATATATTGGCACAAGCTACAGACAGCAAGCTGAAACGAGCGAAGGTATTCAACGATTCATCCATTAGGAGAACTACATGCGAAAGATAAATTAACACTTAAACTATACATTAAGAAAACAACAAGTGAATGACGATGGATGGACTGTGAAGCTAACGATCGAGAGTGAATGGAGTTAATAGTGAGCGGGAACAGATAAAAAATTATTTTACTGATGATGGAGAAAGATATTGTGAAGATATAAAATCTTTATTAAACTGGTTAAATATATGTTTATAAATATATATTTTTACTATTGGCATCAAGCATGCGGGAACGAGCGGACAATTTTCTCAAGCGCATAAAGCGAGCATTCAGTCTCGTCGGTATTCATTCTGGGTCGTGTCGTCATTTATTCAATCTTTATTTTCATAAGCCTTTTCATTTGTAAAGAGAGGGAAAAAAACAACTATGTATATACACGTACATCTACTTATTATAAGATTTCTTATAACTCGCTTTGCTAGTGAAGTGAATATAATATAATAATATCGGTAATAAACAATAAATGGCATTAAGCATTAAGAATACGGCAGCTGGTTTTATTTTTCTCCTCAGCACGTGTACTATAGCGTTGAGCCCAGTTAATTCTCAATTGCTTAACTTGACTTAAGATTTTAATTTTTCTTTGCGATGTGATGACTTATTTAATGAATTCTGAGAAGTATCATGACTTGAATTTTTGGAATCGATAACATAATCGTTAGTAATTAATTAAATCATCGATAAAATAATCAAAGAAAAAATATTTTAATGGAATGCAAAAATTAAAATTTGCAAGCTGACCACGTGCCATAATAAATTAATCCATAAAGTCATCGATTTAAACAGTAAAAATACATTAGCATGTGCTACTCTATTAGCAAACACATTCATAAAGCAGATGTAATTTAATCGGGCGCGCCTGTGTGTCGTTTTATTCAAGAAGTCTTGAGAATTGCTTCGATTTGAGTTTCCCACGGTTTGAAGAAATTTTTTTACTCATTCTTCTTGCTATTATTATTCTCCCCTATGTTTTATATTATTTTTTTCTGTATCGCTCATGCTTGTGTGGTGTTTGTTCAACAATTCTTTTTCTTCTTTCCTTCATTCTCCTCTCTTTCTTTCTGTTTTCTTCACATTATGTGATATTATATTATTGTTGTGTATGATTTCGTCGCAGCTCGCTTGTGCTACGGTGCTACGGTCATATAAATAATCCCTAGTAATATTACTCCATTATGTTGAAAAGTGATGGAAAAAAATTGTTTTTGCTTCTTTCTCGCTCATCAATTCTACTCAATTTAAATAGTTTGTGCTGCTTTTTATGACGATCATCAGTCGGTCGGACTTTTTTTTTTCGCGATGATGAGCGGAAATGGCGAGACGAATTCTGATAATGATATGAATGAATTTTTTTGCTGTCTTTCTTTCTTTTTCCTGTTGTTACGCTGCACGCACATTTTCTGCACACACGATAAATCCTTTATAATACAGTAGTAAAGCAAGTGCAACGCTTTAGACAAATTAGAAAAAAATAGAACAACAATAGTCAACTCTTTTCAGACACGATGCAAAAAATCTAATCTCATTCCTTGTTTTGGAACATAAAATGTCCAGAGTTCAATTACATTCCAGCTATGATACATTGTTAACGACTGCATCAATGACTTGATAAATAAGAAGATGTGCTGATGATGAAAATTCACCCTAATTATAGCAACGCACCTTCAGGCTATTAAGTAAGACGTTCATTCTGATTTTTCCCTCTGTTGACTGCAGCACATTTTGTCAATGAATTAACCGGACGACAACCGCAAATTATGTTCATTTTTTTCTGTCTCACTCTCTGAGTGGAATACGATACGAATAAATGATATTAAAATACAGTAGCAAAATAATTTTAATGACTCATAAACATGAAATGTCATAAATATTGGCAGCTCTTCTATAAAGTAATTTTTCATTAATTCTTTTTCTTAGGTATTTAAATTTTCCCTTTTCTTTTATTTTATTCAAGTGTGTCAAAGGTATGAAGTGTGACCGTCAATGAGTCACATACAAAATATCAAAGACTCATTTCCCATGAAGAACACACGAAGAACCCATGCGACCCCTTTTTTTTATTTATATGCATGTATAGATATTTCATCTTTTTTTTGTACACGCATTGTTTAATGCCATGCTTCATATTCATGCCACATTATCAGTTAAGAATCTCGTGTGTGTACCGATATGTATACTGAGAGAAATTATTCACGAACATATATATGAAATAATGAAACAAATATCCCAAAAGGAAGCACATCATCATCATAATTTTTTTTCTTACTTATAACGTTTTCTCTCCTTTTCGTGCATTCAAATATTTCTTTACTCATTGTTGAACAACGAAGTAAAAGGAAGAAAAAAAGAAATCTTTTCACTTAAGAACGTAGTATTCGTTAAATGGCACCAAGGAGGATTAAAAGAAGTCCATTAGCTAGAAAGAGAGAAGGAATCATTTGTATCGTCAATGCAGAAAAGAGATGGGAATGCATTTGATACAAGAGCAGCTGTATGCTAGAGAAGAAAAAAACAGGTGGTTCTAAACCGTGAGAAACATACATTTTCAAAAAATTGTTTCCCACGTTTTGCTCACAGAGTCCCTCTTGTATATTTCGTTTTGCCTTCTTGCTTCGTATCCCGAAGCCCGATGTGCATACACAACACAGAAATTAGGGTATATAAAGACGAATGAGTATTGAGCATTCGTTTCATTCTATCGTTAGCTCTCGTACTGTAAAGACTTAAATAACCCTCAAAAAGTTTTTAAAAAAATCAATTTTTAGAAAATTGAAAGAAAAAAAATAAGGAAGTTAAGTGAGAGAAAAAAAAGGATCCGAGAGGAGAAAAAAAATAAATATTTCAAGAACATTGAGATAAGAGAAATAAAATAAAAATAATTAAAAATGAAGAATATGTGCTACGAAACATCATATCAAAATATTGTTAGTGAAACAAATGCAATTAAATCAAAAAGTACAATGATTGGCAGTGAACCAGTAAGCCGTACATATCAGTACCGCAAAGTGATGAAGCCAATGCTTGAACGTAAAAGACGTGCTCGCATCAATCGTTGTTTGGATGAATTAAAAGAATTAATGGTTGCAGCATTGCAAGCAGAAGGTGAAAATGTTTCAAAATTGGAAAAAGCTGATATTCTTGAGATGACAGTCTCACATCTTCATAAATTGAGACGTCAACAGAGATTAGCAAATGCAAATCCAGTCATTCATGAAGATCGCTTCCGTGCTGGATTCACACACGCTGCAAATGAAGTTTCACGCATTTTGGCATCAATTCCCGGCGTTGACATCACATTGGGAACAAAATTAATGACACATCTTGGAATGAGCTTAAACTCATTGGACAAAAATCGTCCACTTTCAATCCAAACTCAACAAAATACAATTTTCACAACACCACCAATTTCCCCAACATCATCGCTTTCATCTGGCTACAGCAGCGGTCGTGAAAATGGAGTTAGTGTAATTATGAGCACAGGAAATCATCAAACTGCATTACGTACTCCAACACCAACAAATGATAACAATTATGAACCATTGACACCAATGTCATCAAGATGTAGCCAATCATCATCACCACAACCCATTGATTATCATCGTTCAACATCAACACCCGAATTCGGTTTATTAAAAGTTGTTAATTTCACACAACAAGCTCAATTAATCAAGACTGCTCCATCATCGTCACTTTGGAGACCATTTTAAACAAAATCATTTGTTAAGTTATAAATATTTCAAATTGAAATCAATGGACTAAAGCTTTAACTGCATCACAACAATTAAGATGAAGATAAAAAAAAAATTAAAATTAGTTTATAAGTGAACAAAAAAAAAATTTATAATCCCAGAGAAGTTGCATTTAAATCCCAAGTGAGCCAAAAAATCTAGACAACTCAAAAAGATAATTTCGATCTCATCAAAGTTTTTTAGATTTTTGTTTTTTTATATGCACAAAAAAGAATCAAGCTTTAAATGAAAAAAAAAAATATTTTGTTAAATAAGAAATTTTTTCTTGAATTATCTCTTTTGTAAGATTTTTGTGATATCAAATCCTTTAATTATCTTTCTGATAGTAAATAATTTAGGAATAGTTATTATCATGTTATACTGTGATCCCTATTTTCTCAAATAAGAAATATTCATAAGAAAAAAAAAGAATTAAATAATTAAGCGTAAAAAAATAAATCAAATCGAATTAAGATTTTCGAAAAAATTAAATTTACAAATCTTTTCATTTCCTTTATTCCTGAAATTTCAGCTTCTTTCATCTTACAGCAATTATTACATTTTATGCTTTGTTGATCCTTTGCCGTCTCATGATTACATACATTTCTGTTGCTTTTAACTTACCTGTATGAGAAATTTAGACAATGTAATAAGATTGAAGAACCACACCAAAAAGGATGAACAAAGAAGTAGATGCTTATAAGAATCTTAGTTTTGTAAAGGCAGTCATAAAAGGTACAAGCTTTTAAACATAAAAGGCATTACGCATAGTTGATTCTTATGAGACCAGGAAATATCGGATATATTAACCCATATTAGCATATATGAAGTAACTTAATATCTATTTCGAAAAAAAATTGGCGAAAAAAACTATTTTCATTAAAAGTTATTGTGTCGATAAGATTTTTATTATTTTAACATTTTATTTCATTTTAATATGGTATAGAATGTCACACAAAGAAGAATATTAAAAAAAAGATTCTGTGATTTAATGGATTGAATAGAAAATTATTATCATTTTAATAATCATCATATAATCATTGACTTTTAATTCAATTAGTGATAATAAGATAAAAAGTTGAAAATAATCGGTTATACAGTGTGTTATTAAATTAGGAACAAGATTTGGGCTGTTTTCTTCTATCAAGTAAGTTTGACAACAGTTTTTGTTATTTTTTTCAACTCCTGTTACCAATTTTTTTCGGGTGTTCTTTAATTGTTGCATAAAACATAAAAAATTTAAGAAAAAGAAAAAAAAGTTCTTTTTACCCCGCCTAGCTAGTAAAACACGGCAAGTGTTATTGAATTTTTAAATTTTTCCGTTCACATGATACTTTTGGGATTTCCCATTTAGCTTATAATTAAACTATCCCGAACGAAGATATAAAAGAACTGAAAACAAATGCATGAAAATACAAATTAAAGGTATTATGGATAGAGTATAGATAAATAAGAAACTTTTGTTTTCACTACATCAATTCTATTTTATTAATTTGCCGAAGGTACACATTGCAATACTTCTCCTCAAAATGCTTTATTTTACCAATAACTTAACATTTCATGATATTAGTAATTTATCAATATTTTTATTTTATCAAGTGCACTTATTGTAAATATATATTTGTTAAAGGCATTAAATTTTCTGTCACAATCAAGTGAAAAATACTTTTTCATAATATTTCTTGTATAAAAATCGGTTAAGTAATTCAAAGTTTAATACTTATCATCATCATAGTTATACTCTTCGTTTTGAAACATAACTATTTTTTTATGTTTTAAAAAATAAGGTAATCTTTTTAAAGTAAAATTTTAAGCATATAAAATTATTAAATCAATTAAAAGCAATCTACGATAGCTAGATTTTGCTACTTCCTCTCTACCGAAACAGTTAATTTAATAATTTCTCTTCAATTCATTAAATTAAAATCATATTTTGTATTGTGAATGAAGGTGATCATAAGACTTGTTGTATATATTATCTATATCCATAATATATAAAGAATCGTTATCATCCCTTAAAACTATATCCATGATTGGATTAAAAATTATTATTTAAATTAAATAAGTGATGTTAATGAAGTAGATAAGTAGAATATTTTAAAGAGATAAAAATCTTTAAGGCAATAAAATTAAAATTGACTCTCTTTTCGAGTGTAAGTTGTCGTTGTTGTCTTGTCGGCATCACCATTAGTTGCTCCATGTGATATTGTCGTTATAACAGATTTCACAATTACTGCGTTCTGATGTGTCTCATTCGTTTCACCGCCTACATTTACATCCTTTAATGTCTTTATGTCCATGATTTCTTTTGGATTTAAACTAGTTGTTGTATTATTTGTTGATGTTGAAAGAACTGATAAACGTCCAACAATCTCTTCTGTCGTTGTAGAGCATAAGGTTGTAACTGTCGAATTTAAATGATCTCGAACAGAATCTATTGTGATGTCGCCCATAGAACTTGAAATAGTGTCATTTCCCAAGTTGTTGTTTGTGATACTTGTTGGTGAAGCTTCGACTCCATTCGTTAATCGTTCTGTAAGCAAAATAAAAACATTAATAATTTAAATCCTTTGATTTAAGAAAAAACATTTAAAAAAAAGTTACCGTTTCCATTAACTGCGATATCACTTCCAGCTCCACTCAAAGGCGTTACCGCTTCAATTGTTGTATTTTCATTTCCTTCCTCAGTTTCTGGATTATGATCAATAATCTCATCGATATCCCGTTCATCATCCCAATCCTCCAAATCGATTGATCCACTTGGTGAGACAATTTTTTTCCCAGACAAGGTTATACGTTGAATTTCCGATGATGACATCATGTAAAGAGCTTCACCATGATTTGTAAAGCAAAGTGATGAAATGCCACTGTAAAAAATAAGACAAATCTAGTAAATTTCTAGTTGATATGACTATTTAATGTCATTACTTTATATCTTCTCTACGAATCGCTGCAGCGTTGATTTGACGCTTAAATTCCGGAATGGATAGAACTAGAACATCTCCCAAATTTGTAAGGCAAAGCAATGCATATTCTTTATATAAAATATTTTCAACTGGACTGTCAGCATTGTCGGGAGGTGGAGGTGCTGCTAATGGTGATGCTGGGCGTACTCCTTTTTGAGGACTAGGATTCAATTGATCAGGTGACACAGAGCATGTAAATTCACCAAATTGCATTCGTCGTACACTAAAATATTTGAATCCATTAAGATTAGTTTAAAATTATGAGAATATATATTTTTTTTAAATTATTTACCGAGCTCCTTCATGTGCCGTAAGTTTGAATTTGTTTATGGGCTTCAATTGTGGAAGAGAGAACAATTTAAATTGCTCTTCTGATGCTATTACTACTTTATGAGGTCCAACGCCAGGAGTGTCTTGGAAATCTAGAGGCACATTGAGCTGTGAAATAAAATCAATCATAATTAATTCTTCGAAAAACGGGATTAAAATTCATTCTTACAGCATCAAACAATGAAATTGCAATGACTGGAGCTTTATGTTTAATTTGTATTTCTTTTGCCAACTGTCCCATAATTGGTCTTGGGGTTTCTTCTGATGTAGTATTAGGTTGTGGAATGTGCAATATGAAAATAGATACGCAACTTGAATTGGTTCCAGACCATAAAGTTGGTACAGTGGAATTGACTGGAATTGAATAAAATAAACAATGTTAGTATGATGATAATTATATTAGCAGTTCTATTATCTCCTTTACGATTGACTTACCATTAGTAATGTATGTTTGGGCAAAAGTTAAACATCTAATCATGGAACCCATGCCATCATCGACTTGACGAGCCTCGATTTGACGTTCAACAGGTCTTGTTTCAGCAGGAATATTGGGCTGATTATTTCTAGTTGATCTTCCCTTACGTAAACGTCTAAATGATTCTCTTAAGGATTTTTTAAATGACTTTCTTCTTGAAATTGGCTCACCAGCACCAGTTAAATCATTTGGATTTAATGTACATTTATGCAAAACTGGTCTATTATTTATAAAATCATATAAAACCAAACCATGTGCAGTTCCTGCAGATAACAGACCCCATTTTGACTGCAATGCTATGCATGTGATGGCTGCTGGTGGCTTTATTTGTAAAACTCCCATAACTTCAACGCCATCTGCTAATGGTTGACTTTGTTCAAGCAATTGCTGTTTAACTTTCAATGGATCGTGACCTTTCCAGATGAATCCAAGATGCTCACTTACTAAATCCATTGTTGTCGTTCGAATCCCTTCTGAATTTGTAACGGGAGAATCTTCTAAGGTTGCAACAACAATATTTCCAGCAGTACCGGCAATAATCAGAACACCAGTTTTGGGACATAATGATATTTTCTTAACTGCCAAACGTGGATCATCAGAATAAGGATCAAATTGTCCAGCTTTTCTAAATGGTGGTTCACCATCGTCGCATTCCAAATCATCTTCTCGTGGTTGATCCAAATCATCGCTATTACCAAATAATTGAGCCGTTTTGACATGCAAAAGTGGAGTAAGACAAACATCAGAACAATCCCAGAATTTAACTGAACCATCTTCATGACCAGTTAATAAAATTTCATATTCAGTAATATTAGAATCATTAGGACGCTCTGCAACATCGCCTCCGTTAAGTGGCCATGGTATGTCGCTAAACTTAATATATTGTTGAATGCCGGCTTGAACAATTTTATCATAAACTTCTGCAGTAACTTGTGAAACAAGTTGATTACATGTTACTGCTGATGCATGAAGAGAATGCAAGTAAGGTGCATTTACCAGAGGTACTGATTTTTGTGTTAAGTCATATGCAACCAATTCTTCTTCCAATAAAACAATCAATACTTCAGCCTGTGACTTCTCATTGACACTTTCAATGTCTTTAAATGTCACAAAAAAGTCGATGACCTTCGATGTAAAATCAAGTGCAATTTTTGTTCCATCCTTGCAGTGAACAGAAATGCATTGATGATCTCCGTAAGCTGATCGCGGCATTCCACCCGAGAAAATAATCAGCTCATTGTCACCACGAAAACCACGTACGAGACGATCGATTGCTTTACATGGATCAGGTCCATATGGAACATATTTTACATTTTCTGGCTCATTAGTGCTCTCAACATCCCACGTTGCAAATGATCCATCAGCATGATACCATGTAAATTGGCTTCCTTCTTGATTGACATAAATTCCAACACTCTGTCCATGTCCAGGAGAAACAAAAGAACGAACAACTTTATTCTCATCCAAATCCCACAAAACGGCAAGACCTCGATTATATGCAATCAACAACAAATGAGGCTGATTTGGTAATTGTTTGATTGATTCAATTGCACCGGGATTCAGTTTGTATGATGAAGGCAATTGATCATAAACAGCATCATGAAAAATGGTTGATTCCTTTATTTGGAAAGTTTTTAAGTCAAACTGATAAACATTTCCACCTTCAGTACCGATCCATAAGAGGTCTTTAATGTAGGAACAGCATAATGTTGAAACTTTTTTAAACTTCTCAAGTGCCAATGTTTTGATGGCAACAAGCATTGTTCCAGCTGGCTCCCATAATGTCAATTGATTGTTCGATGTCAATGAAAGCAAACGTCCATTGCCCGGTATAAACTCAAGTATTTGCACCAAACAGTCTGACTGAGTTGGATTTGTTGATGTAATTATCGGCGTTGTCTGTCCATAAAACTCAACGCCGGGTTGACCAAATACTTTAATGACACCAACTGTTGTGCCGATTGCCATTAATTTTAAAACCGGATCATAGGCCAATGAAGATGGCTTATGAGGAAATCCATGCTGAACAGTCTAAAATTATAAAGTAAATAGGAAAAGAATGTGAAAATTCATTACTCATACAAATTTTATGATTCATACGAGAGTTTTTTTTTCGTTTTCTTCTTCATTCATTTTTTTAAATGCCCACGAGCACTTTTATGTCTTCATTACTTTTTTTCGTTTTGCAATGCTTCTTTGTTCAATCTCTTTTATTTCTGATCATTTTTTTTATATATGAAGTCTTACATAGTCATAAAAATATTATTAAGTGAATTGAATATTGAATTACGCAAAGAAACATGAATGGAAACATGATTTCTGTAACTCTCTTTAAGAACATTGACTTCTAATATTTGACGACTGTATTAGTAAGTCAAATAATGAAATCATGGAGTTTTTAATGTTTATAATTTTTTTTTTTTTTTGAGCAAATGATTAAAATATCAAATAAGATAAAATTTGTGCTTTTTCACACAGGAGGTGCGTAGGTAATTAGCTTAAATTCAAATAATGAGCACTTGAAAATTTCGTATAAATAAAAAAGAGATATTTCCGTTCTTTTGCAGACCATATCATTTAGTCTTGATTTAGAATATTTCCTCATTCGAAGTTTCTAAAAGTGAATCATTTCTTTGTGTCGATTAATTTAATTTCTTTACAATTAAGGCGTTGCCTGACAAGAAAGGTGCACGATAGAAGGAAAATAATTTGAAAATCTTATCAGTACATTTATTTTTAATGTATGACAAAGACGAAAGTAAGCATTGATATTCGCTGTCGAAAACCATGATTCATTTCATATCATTTCGCACGTTTGTGTATCGCCGTAATCAACAAATAAGATAAACATGATTGTAAAAATCGAAAGATAATATTCCGTGCCTTTCCTCAATAACCATATCTTTCAAATTTTTTATAGATGTGCTCATGTATGTAATCGAATATAAATAGTGATCATGTTTGATATTTTTTTTTATCCATATCATTACTCAGTAAACAATTTACTTCAAGCACATATCTTATCTTCTTATTTCGTGAATATTCTGTACAGAAATTTTGAAATTGAATGGAAATAAAATGAACCTGTTTCCAAATTTTACGTTTTTTTGTGAGAAGTGCGGTCTAAGGCACACCTAGAGTTATTTAATTTTGCCGAAAGGTGTAAAATAAGAATAATAATACTATATTTTGTTATTTTTCATTTACTGATAAGAAATAGTTGTTTCTACATTTATATGAAGAATGTACATACATTTTGTAATATTGTAAATAGGTACACATTTCAAATTAACGTGGCATATAAAATTATAAAATTATTCAAACTCACCTTACGAAATGCATACAATTCCTTTTGTAATTTTTGTCGTTCAGCTGATGGCTGTTGATGATGTCCCTTTGATCGAATAAATTTTAACATTGTTGATTTTTTTTAAGTCTTGAATCGAATTGGAAGTAAACTATTTCGTTTTTTTTTCGAAGTAAACAATTTATAAAAAATAATTAAGTCTTCTTTTTTTTGTTAATTGGTTAATTCATTCTTATTGCGGCCTATGACCACGTCTCGTACAATACTAATCTGTAAATAAGTAGAGACGAATGAAAAAATTATTATAGGTCACGAATGTTATGGTTGATTTCCATGCATGCTTGCACAATTGTGCATTATTAGGAATGTGAGAAAATAAGAATTTTTTAATAATCAAACGAAAATTAAAAACAAAAAGATTTAACAACCTTCCCAAAATAAAAAAAAGTCCACGTTAAGAAATAACAAATTATGTGTGAGATAAAATAAAGTAATTGTCCGACTTATAAGGCAAAATTTAATAGAAACAAGTTTATTCTCAAGCGAAATTCAAATATTTTTTTTTTCTCTTCTCCTTTCTTTCTTTGTGTTCCTTTATTTTTATTTTCAAAGAAAGTAAAGGCACTAATAATATTACGAATATAGTTGAAAAGAGATTTTTAAAATGTACAAAGCCTGCAGTATGATTTTTTGCACATTCAAAGTGAAACCTTTACCTGTTCTTTTTTTTACATTTTCATAGTTATTCACTTATTTCCTAGACAACTATATAGTATTAGCGATTTGCTTTAAATCTCGAAAATATTTTTGTTGTAAGAACGCCGCTTTCTCTATGGATTAATGATCACTTTACAACACAATAAGGATAGATTTTATGCAACTCGAATTTTCTTAACCGTTAATGTTAATGTAAATTTAGATACTGAGTGACAATTTTACTATCTCCGAATATTCAATTATTTCTCTGGAGAATAAAAATCAACAGGTGTGACAAATCAGAAAATTTCATCTTCACACATTCTAATTTGAATAGCATCTGAACTATAAACTGAACGACTAAGTAAGTAAGTTTACAGGAGAGGTGAATAGCACAATTCAATTTTTCATATGTTTGTATGTGATTGTGGATTTTAAAGGAAAGAATTATAAGAATTTTTTAAAAATCAAATTTTACCTGCAACAATAATTATACAATATATTTGATTAGGTTGATTGCAGTTCCTATCGTGTTGAAAAACAAAGTTTAACTGATAACAACTAGGTGGAAAATGTAATTGAAGAACAAAATGCGATAATTTTTTGTTGGGAGTGGTTCCTCAAAATTAAGTTTCTTATATTCACTTATTTTCCAATTTTTCTTATTCGGTTTTATATAAAATGCATTCTCAATGAAATTAGAAATACACTAATAACACATTTTAACTTATATTAATTCTATTTATGACAAAAAAATAATAAATTATGAAGAAATACTAATTGTTGCTTTATTGTTTTAAACAATATCCATCAATGACTATGAACCTTCTTAGCACAACTGAATAGGAATCAAGACTGTACATAACATATTCACACTGCACGTTAGTCATAACTGTTGTCATGTTAAATTTCCTCATAATAACGGTGCTCATGTGACTCAAAGTAAATAAAAATGATTTTAACACTTATTATTGTGAATTTGATTAGTGGGTACTGCTGGTTTTACTCGAGGGATTCATAGAAAATTTGTTAATATTAAATATTAGACAGAAATCAAATCGTTACCGATTTAAAGACCATTTTAACGATTCGCAAAGATTTTCGAAACATATTTTTCCGTTAATCTTTTTTAAATTCGTTTTAGTTTCAAATTAGCTTTTAAAAAAATATATTAAAACACAATCCTTTTTTTCCAATACTTTATTAATCAATTATTTTTTTCTTTTCATTTTTTTTTTCTTGTTACAAACAAAGATCTTATCGATTCTAATTAACTGGTAATTTTTTCAATTAATTCATTTAAAGATATTCATTTGAAATAAATGCTGTATTTTTCTCATTTTTGAAGAACTTATAAGTTTATGACACTATATGTATATTTACAATTTTTTTTTCTTTTAATTTCTTCTTCAGTTAATACGAATTGCATTTTGCAATTTTTTTTCTGCTTCTACAAATATTAACCAACAATTTAATAATTATTATTATTTATATTTATGCTCACAAAAGAACCTTTCATCATGCCTTTCATGAAAATCTCTCCTTTCCTTTATTGTTCCTTAGAATCTAGATAAAACGTGATGGAAATCTTTTTTTTTTAAATTTAATTCCAAATTAGTCTTTCAAAAGCTTTATCATAATCAGTTTCTATTTTTTTTTCATCATCTTGTAATTTTCTTTTAAATATTTCAATTAAAAAAGTTCAGTTTAAAATTCATCTAAATTATGACATATTTCAATATTATGTAATCCTAAAATTTATTTAAAATATTATGTAGAAAAATTCTAGAATTGCTATCAAAAAGATCATCATAAGTGAATTGAATGTGTTGAGCAAGGATGATGGAATTTTAAAAATTTGGAAGTTCTATGAGGGTAAATTATTTTTTAAATGTTTAGAATATTTTAGGAAGAGGTTTGCAGCTTGTCTATGAGATGTTTGAAGATAAAAAAGTTTGTGGAACTAAAAGCATTCAAATTATAGCAATGCAATCCCTCAAGGCTCTTCCAAACCTTTCCAATTCTACATACCTCAGCGGTTATATACTTCTTTTAAAAAAAAAGAAGAAATGGAAATAAAGTCGATATATGGAACTTAATTTTGGATTTAAAAGTTAATAAATTGTAGTATATAATAGTAAAAGGTATAGTAATAGGTAGAGTCGTAAAGTCTTTCGTTGGAAAGTCAGAAAATTAAATATATAACTAATATCAAATAGATATCAGCGAATGTAGATAACATGATGTTTTCTTTTTTTTGTAGACATTTTTCTTCATTACTTTTCTTATATATATTTACATATTTATCTAATCTATTCTAGTTGATTTAATAATTTTTCATTGTTTGTAACTTTCACGAGAAAGCATAAAAATTAATTTTCTTTATATCTACAGAACATGCTAATATTCTTTCATTCATTTTTTTCATATCATTTGAATATTTAATTCTTTTCAAATTTCAATGTATGTTTATGGCACACTTTTTAAAATGTTTTATCATTTAATTAAACTTATTATTTTAAAACATAATGTATATATCATAAAAAGAGAGGAATAAGATGACATGAAAAAAAATTAAAATCGATGTAAAAAATTTTCTTTGGTGTGATGTATAAAATTTTACTTTTGCGCGCGATTCGTGGTCGCATAAGAAAATGATTTCATTTTCCTATATTTTTGAAATGTAAAGAAACTTAAAATCTAAGAAAAGAAATAAAATTGATCCCGTAAAATTTGACATTTCCTCAAAAAATCTTTCAATTTCACAAAAAATTTCCTTTTTTTTTAAATACTTGAGCGTTACGTTACGATTATAGAATAAAATGGCGATGCTTTTCATTTTAATAAAGTGAATTTTGTAAAAAGGAGTAGTTTAGTGATAGTACGACTTATATTAAACAGATTTAGTTTTTTCTTCTTAATATGTGCCTTAAATCGTGTCAGTATCGTGATGATCTTAATTCTTCACTTTATACTTTTTAATGTTATACTGTGTATGTGGTTATTATTTTGTTTTTTTCGAAGATCCCTGATCGCATAGTTCACTTGTTATATATTTTCAACAATACATAATCACGATAAACGCTTGAATTTTTGTAATCTTAAATTTATACATTTTAATCCTTTCTAAAACTTTTTTTTTTGTTGCTTATTTCAATTATCATTATTTAAGGAATTTACGAAATAAATATGTTTCAACTCCACTTTAAATTCATAGAATATATAGGTATAAAAACTTTTCTTTAAATACATGTGACGATCGAATGTTTAATGCCTTTATTGTGAAAAATTATACCACGATTTTAAAGGGAAAAAAATGGATAATTTTTCATTTACGATTTAAAATTTTTAACTCTAGCACATTTTTGCAAAACGAGTGCGCTGCTTTGTTCTACTTTTCTCCTTGGCTAAACAGTCTTTCTTATAACTTCAAGATTGAAAATTTTTAACTTTATGACTAATATTTTTTTAAGCCAATTTAAATTTAGTGAAAATAGAACTGACTGAATATGCAAAAATGCGCTTTACTACTCGAATGTTTATATCTTTGTTTTCATATATTCATATTTAATATTCAACTTTAAAAATCAAACGAGTTTTTCTGAATGAAAACTCTTTATGAGAATTTTCAAGTTATAAATTCTACGAGCGAATAATTTCATTTCTCACTAGAAGAATCAGAGAATTTTTTTTTTTTTTTTGGATAAAATTGACGAAATACATATTTCTACTCTAAAGCTCTGTGATCTTACTCGTCTTAATTCCTTAAACAATTATGACAATATCTATCTTTGAAATCCATCAATACTTTTATTTTGTTTTGTTTTGTTTTGTTTTCTTTTGTTTTGTATCAACTATACAATCCATAACAATATCATTTTTTTTTTTAATATTTTATGTTTTCTTTCTCTTCTACATTATCATTTTGATTTAATGAAAAAAGAAATAAAATGATGATTCTGGATATTAATTGAGAGTATACTATTTATATATTTTCGAATAATGTCCAGATTGCATTCTATCTACATATCCGTTACTACTGAATCTTTTCAAATTTCTATTATTAAAATTTCTCTTTTTAACCGTCGAATAAGGAGAGGAAAATTTTTTAAATTGAGATCATTGAAGTATTTTATAACGTTTATGTCTAGATTTGTGATGGGTACTATGCTTAATGCTGCTAGTATGGTTGCGCCTTTCGCGCCGAAGCCTTTGCTATTCAGTATCAAAATTGTACATATAAGACAGAAGAATCTTTAATAGTTATAGCTCAGTAGCAGAATAATTCTCGAATGGTTGCTGCAATAGCTCGCGAGATCCTCGCGATTTGCGATTATTCTTAATACCTGTATTTGAACCACTTGAGAATGTTGTTGTTGTTTGTGGATAATGATGATGGTGAGGCAGTGTTTGAAAATTTTGCTGCTGTAATAATTGCTGCTGTTGCAAAAGCTTAGAGCTTTTAAATTGTTGTGAATCATCATATGAACGTCCTGTTCTATCGCGATCTCTAGTTCTCTCACGTTCGTAACCTCTTTGCGGATATTGTTGCTGTTGATGATTGTAGCTCTGTATAGGTATTGCTGGCAGTGGTTGCTGAGCTCGTTGATTACGATTTTTTGGTGGCAGTATTGGTGGAATAGCTTTACCAGAAACTCCTTGACGAGAGTCTTTATTTCTCTGAGTAGTCCCAGTAGTAAAATGTGCTTTTGTATTTTGAGGACGTTGTAATGAACGATAATTGGTAGGATAATTGCTCAAATTAGAAGCACATAAAACTTGGGGACTTTTTGACGATTGTTGAATAGGAATTTCGGGTAACGGCTGATTAATTATAGAAACTGGTTTCGTTTGAGTGTGCGGTTCATGTTGTCTATGCGTTGATTCGATACTAAATACAGACGGCTTGGCCATTTCAATAATCTCTTCACGATGTTTCTTTAAAATGCTCGAAGTTTCCACAAATCCGGTACCTGGTTTTTTGTAAGGTAATGATGCTGAAGGAAATTGTTGAGTGTAATCACGTGAAACTGTTGAAATGTTATAGCTTTGCAAAGTTTGTTGATGGAAGTTTTGATGCTGTAATTGATAGGTTTGAAGTTCTAGCTGCTGATTATTTGGTTTTTGTAAGTGGTGCTGTTGTAACTGAATATGCTGTTGGGGTTGAATTATCTGCTGTTGCTGTTGCTGATGATGTTGTTGAGGATGTTGTTGAGGAGCTGGCTGCTGAACAGTTGGTTGGGCAATATTTTTTGGATTTGGACTTAAAGAACCGCCAAATCTACCACTATGTTTAAGAGTTGCACATTTGTTTGTAGTTAAATTTGTTTTTATATTTTTGGGACCAATGCTAACATATTTTGGATCAAATCGGTTAAAACTGTTTGCGGAAACATCTCGTGGATCTTTATCTTTATCTTCTGAAATTTCTAATAGATGATTTGGTAAATATTTAAATGTATGTAAAATAATAGTTTTGATTTCCTCACCTTTGCCTTTGTCGCCTGCTTTGCAGGCCAGCGATTCTCAGTAAAAATCATTTGATTCAAGAGTTTTGCATTGTTTACTTAAAGTTGCGTATTTTCCATTATTTGGACCAGTCATATGAGCCGAATGAGATGGTAATCTTCCCAATGTTTGATGCCCAGATGATATTCTATAAATTAAAAAAAAATGCAAGAATGTATTAAAATTTGTTTACAAGGGATTTTTTTTTCTACATGTTGCAAAAAATTTGACCAAATGCTGAAAAAATCAAGAGCACATTTTTACATACTTGACATTGAGAAATGAAATTTGACACAATTGAAATAAAGAAACTTTGCATGATTCATACAAATTTTAAAGCTATAATAACGTTATTTAGTATATGATATTTATAGGTAGGAAGTATAATGCACAAATGTCTTTTGTTCGGTGAATAAATTGTGATTTAATGAAACTGTCTGGTACAAAATGATTTAGTATGAATGGCAAATCAAAAAGAAATTTAATAAAAAAGTATATTTAAAGGTCGAGCGAAAAAATAATGTTTAAAAATATATAAAGAATGAATTGAAGAAGAGCTTCTGCTACACATTTATAATTACCATTCAAGATAAATTTAATAAAATAAAAGACATGAAAAAATATATAGAGGAAACCTGAACAAGACTAAAGGAGATAACTCAATATTGACTGCATAGTTGTGTCATTAAAAATTTTTTTCTTAAAATTACTTGTAGTGATGATAAAAATGGAAATAATAATAAAAAAGAAGCCATGCCTTTGTAACGAAATGTCATGCACATCATCATAATTAGGTGGCGGAGAATCGCCATTTAAATGATTTGCCAACCCTCTTGGATTTCCATTCCTTGGGTGAGCATTATGCGCACTATGAACAGTATGTGCAGTAAATTGCTGAGTATGCAATAGAGTGCGATTGATTGTGGCTGTGCCACTAGTTGTTACAGGAGCAGTCGGAGACATTGATGTTGATGGAGGAAAAAGTGGTGCTGTCTCTGCTTTATCTTCATATGGACGTCTAAAATTATATTTAAGATGAGAAATATGCGTGTGTGTTATTAAGCATGCCATAGAAAACATTCCACAATAACTTACTTCTTAGTTAAATAAATCCAAGTATGTGAATCGACACAAACAAGAATTGTTAACAAAAATGCAGTGGCTATGGTAGCAATCATCATTAAAGCTAAACCAAATAATCCACCATGACAAAAGCTTCTGGTTGCACTATTGTAATGCATGTTTATTGCATGGCTATCAAGCATATCTGTAAGATCTAAATTTGAGGAAGAAAAAAAAAGGAAAAGGAGGTAAGATAAATGTTGGCAAAATATTCTCAATTGAATAATAATGTAATCATACTTGATAAAACGTTGGCACTATTATCTAATATTGTATGAATGTGAGCAACACGACCAGGAATATTGTGTGTAGGGAAAAGTCTTCGACCCATATCTTCCAATTGGTACAATGATCTCTTGGCCATTTCAATGTTTTCTTTGGAGTTACTCAATCGAATAACAAAATGATTTGTTCCGGATGCTCCACAATTTGATTGATAAATATATTGTAGACGTTGTTGACTGCAAATGTGTTGATATGGGGAAACGCAAAAATCAGCAGCTGCGACTGACGTAGCCAAGTATACACCGGATAATAACCAACAAATAGCAACAGTGAAAAGTCCAAGAACACTGAAGAATATCAATAAACATCGCGAACTTCGTGCAACACCAATTACAAGGACGGTACATAAGAAAAGCAAAAATGTCAAGAATCCGAGAGTAATTGGCCATCGTAAGAGTTCATAAAATTCATATTCATCAATGAGCGACTTTAACAACTGATCCGATTTAGATGGTTCAATAAAGTAGAGTGCAGCATCAATTCCGCTCAAAGCTTCTGTTGTATTTTTCGTCACAAGTTGAGCAGTATCAATCATGTAGGAAAGAGCAGATTGATTTGAAACAGGAATGTCCCATAGATCGTCAATTTCGAGAGAGGAAGCACGATCCTTTAATGACTTTGATAAATAAAATGTCTGGAAATGTCAAATAAGGAATGGATCAAGATACTGTATCATGGTACTTAAGTTTGCAAAAGAAAATACCTGATTTCGAACGTTAATAAAGAGTCTATTGAGTTGTTTGCCTGCGTTAAAAACTTGGACTAGTCCATTATGCAAATCATCATTTCCATAAAGTCCTCCACCGATCGCACCACAACATAATATCGTTAGAAAGATTAACGTGCACTTTTGGCATCCGAATGTTCTCTGCTTTTTCGATTTACGATCACAACATCTTGTCATCAAATAGAGCAACAGAAGAAATAGTGAGCATATTAAAACTGCAGCTGGGATCGTTGCAAGAATTGTAAGACTCTAATAAAGAAAACAACAATAGTAAAATGTTACTGTTATAAATCGCATCGTCTGAAGTTTATGTATATGTACTTGTGAGCATACATATAGCTTTACATTCTTGTTTTGCTTGTTTTTCAAGTCTTATCAAGGAAGAATGTACGGCTATGATTCATTCATATTTTCTCATTTAGTAATACATTTTATAAGAAAAAAAAACTTTGAGTGATTGTAGAGGAACTATTTTAATATTTCTGTCCATACACGTCTAAAATATTATCGAAATGATTAAAAGTTGAAGGAAGGAATCATATAAAAAATTTATAGTTTTTTTAAGTGCTTATACAAACTCAGCACAAACTTATAATATTTAATCGATATTATCATAATTGAAAATAGAAAGGATGTATAACGCATTAATAAAAATTAAAAAATTCTATCAACGTGCTTCACAAGCTTAACGCTGAAAAAAAAAAGTCCGAAAATAACCGGATATACGTACTTTATTAAATTAACAAAACAATATATTGTTCTGAAAAAAAAAAATTTGCACATTGTAAAGAAATTACGTGATCTTTTGAAGACTTTAAAGTTTATTTGTGGATCTTTTGCTGCCTTCCATTTGAGAAATTGTTTTCGGGTTGACTGCTCGTGTGCGTTTGTTAAAATTTCCAAAAATTGAAAATTATTTTAGGGTCCAATTTTTTTTTCCCTTTTAAACAATTTCACTCTCATATGGTCGATCGTGAACATACACATGAGCAATTGTGTAAGCAAGTGAATTCTTGCTTTAAAGTAGTCAAGGAAATAGCGCATTATGTGTCTATAAATGACGTTATTTTGAGTTTTCTTCAAATTTCTACTTATTTTAACAAGAAAAAGTAACTTTATATGAACGGTTAAAACTGTTGGAAATTATGAAGAACTAAGCATATCGATAGCATTTCCGATTGAAACTGATAAGAACATTAATTAAATATTTGTTCAGAGCGTACCTCAGTCAGTGTAGTTTGGTTTTTGACATGTCATAGCATTAATATTATTATACTGTAAACCAAAATGCAGAATTAAGCAAAGCACTTTTACACACTAAAAAAGTCCGTACGTTTGTGTCACAAGAATTAAGCATAACAATGATCCAGCACAATGTGTTTACTTCAAAATTATTTTACAAATATAATTTTTTGTACATTTGGAATAAACAAAATTTAATGTTTAAGGCAATACGTAAACATAAATTCACGAATGGAAAAGTTTTCCTTCTTTCTTCTACGTCAAAAGGCTCTAGCTCTTTGACTATCTATAGTTCAAGAAGTTCTCTACAAATGTTTCATTTACTGAATGTTTACTCATTGATTCCATTAAAATAAAAATTTTTAATCATTTTCTTGATAGTCTAAATCATTTCGTTTAGCATGAAACTCTTTTGAATTTCCAATCATACACTTGATACTTCTTCGGTTGAACTCTGATTTATTCATATTCAAATGCGGATTAGAGTGGTTGAATAGTTAATTTTAATTCCTAATGCATCCTTAGAAAAAAAAGAGGCGATAAACTTTGTGGATATAAAAGAAATCAAAAACAAGTTTTACTTCCTGTATGTCGCTAACAATACTCAGACAGCCACATGAGTTTCATTGAATTAATTGACTTATAGTTTTTCATAGAACACAAACATTGTAATGCAGAACAGTAAAAGTAGTTTTTAATATTATTAATAATGATGGTCTGTAATCTAAACCCAAAGAGTTTCATTCTCATAGTTCTCTTTTCATCTATTAATAGAAAATTCATCAAGAAACAATTAAAGAAATGCAGAAACCAACCAACACTATCTGAAGAGAGCTAGCTCAAATTTTATAGTTGAGAAAATAAATCTTGTACGGTATGGTGATAATCATTTGAAAATTGTAAAGCATACATATAGATCTTTTTTTTTGTAGGCTGTTTGTTCGTAAAAAAAGCATGAGAAGAAAACCTTAAAAAAAACTGCATCTCTGTTCTCTCTCTTTCTCATCATTTTATGTTATGATTATGCTATACATATGTGTTTATATAGAAAAGATACAATATTTCCATTTCTCTCAGTTCATGTACTATGTTTATCGATTTTTTCCTGTCCCATTTGTTTGTTTCGGCTTTGCTCTATCGATTGCAAGCTATTCCTTTGAATAATTTCTTATGAATCACTACATTATGATATCATTAAAAAAAATGTATATAAGATAGCGACTTACTTTAACTGATTATCTAGTTTAAATAATGAAATGAAAAAAAAGGCAATATCCTTCCGCTGTATTAATCATTGATTTTTAAAAAGAATTTATGAGTACAAAAACGAGGTGTATAATGTTTCTTGGCAATACATTCACAAGAATTCCTCATAACACTTTATTTTTCTTTCAAGATAAATAGATCTCTTTTTGAGATGTAAATAATTATGAAGAAATGTTTCTGGACATTTTCATTTGTCGACTGTTCAACAATAATACATGCTATATGTATATACACCTATTTATTTTTCTCTTACCTCACGATATACTGGACTGTTAAGATCAAATGTACTGTTAACAAAATGAAGTGACACGTTAATGTGTGGAATAGAGTGGAGAAGATTAACAATTATTGGTTTTTCCATTTGCATCATGCTTATCACTACGCAAATTTTCCCTTCTTTCAATTTCAAATAGTCGAGATTTATGTTAAATCTAAAATTTTGATTTTAAGCTTCTCTTCTACTTTTCACTTTTCACTTCCTACTAATTTTCTAGCTGCATTCGAATCATATTTATTATACACTTCCTTTAATCAACTTTATTATTAAATGAATTTTAGTTTCTTGTTACTATTTTTTTTTCTATAATAATGGATCTTTTTCTTTAGCCACTATACTACTCTTATTAGGTAGGTATATATATATATATATTTTTTTTTATTTTTCACAAAGGGCGTTGCAAAATTTTTTGTACACAAATTTGACTCAAATTTAAGATGCTCAGCAATATTTTTATGCTAAGAGCATTGCACTAATTATTATCCATCATTTTTAAACAATTTTACAGACAGTTGACTTGTTAATAAATTTTTTTTTCTGAATTGTAAAAACAGCTCCCGTTCGTCCAATCTCTACTACTACCACATTGATACTGTCTGCGTTTCGCAAGTAAATCTAACATAAATCGTAACATGAACTCGATATATCCAGAGAAGAGGAAGAGAGAAGCTGAATTACAAAATTTTAAAATTGTGTTGTCTGTTATAACTATATACAACTTGTAGTAGATACATGATTCAACCATTTAAATCAAGGCGTGGAAACTATCCCAAATATCCCATATATCCTAAAAATATTCAAAATAATCCCTGAGCCTGTATGCATTAGAATTGAGATATCCCATCATATCCTGAAATTACATGACCAATACACTAAGGTTAGTTGGGATATCTTTATTATCGTGCATAATAATAATAATGTGTGAAGGGCTCAGTTTTTCAGCTGGAGGCACTGCGATTCAAATTAGAACAGAATCTATTGTACCACACCCTTTAGATCTACAGTTTATAGTGGGATCCGAACCACTTGCAGGCTCTGCACATTGCAAAGACACGAGTACGTCATAAGACCTGATGCACTCTGCAATGTACCTGTCACAATTCGTGTGCGCAAGATGCCGTAAGGAAGTCATCCAGATGCTAGTATATCCTTGTATATCTAGCAAAGGAGGCATATTCTGTGCCAAAGACCTCAAAACTACACCCAACACACGAACCGAGCTTCGTAACTAGAACGGTGAAATGGAAAAAGAGCTTCGAAAATTAGACATGGCCTGGGATTGAACCCAGGACCTTTGGCACAGAAGACCAACGCTCTACCATTTAGGCCACTGATGCCATTTCACCGCTTATTTTATTATCGTATATTATCATAAATATGATATTTGGGATAGTTTTCACGCCTTGATTTAAATAAGGATAATACTTTTTAAAATTTTCTCAAATATATAGCACTCCAGTCAAGCTTTATTATATCTCTTTGTAAGGTAAATGTCAGTAAAATATAAAACAGCATTTTCCTAAAAATGATTACAATATTACTGTGTGTATACATAAATATATTGCATCGAATATCGGAGATTATCATGTTAGACTACATAAATCGGAATGATTATTTTATGTCACAAAAAAAAAGAATAAGGTAACAAGCGGATATAAGTTATGAAATCGCACAATTCTTATTTCTATCATTATTAGATGATGAAGAGCTGCCAACTGCCACACTTTGCTCATTCTCCAGCATAGATTCATAAATTGCTTTCGCTAGGGCTTCATCCTCACCTAGAAATTCAATTTTTATTCTATTAAGTAAAGGCAAGTTATGAGTAGGAATGATAAAAGTTTACCCATGCTTCCTTGGACCTTTGTAAAATGTTCCTGTAAATTCTTATTATGACCAGCTTGATCAGCACATCGTCGAGTCGCAGCATTACTAAAGTAAGGATATTTTCAATTAGCTATACTGGTTCAATAGTTGAGAAACTTACGCTAAAATATCACGTTGATGAAATCCTTTACATTTATGAACATCCGCATGTCGATGTTTAAGACAATAATTGAGTTTACACGAGCTACATGAAAACGGAACTAGTTCCTTCTTTTTACAGTTATTGAACGAGCATGCATTGGTATAAATTTTTGTCTCAGATTTGCAAAACTTGTCAATATGCAAACTAACCGCGTAATCCTCACGGCCTTTTTCACTAGGCACAGGTTTCATACAAATTGGACATACGGGAACTTGATTATCTCTCTTTAATTGACCTTCTAAGCAGTTATGACCAATATAAGAAAAGTGTTCTGTACTGTAAATTTTATTAAAATAGTCATTATAATAATTACTAACTTGTTGGTCTTTAGTCATCTTGGAACTTACCAGAACGTTTTCTTACAAGCATCACAGGATATTGGCAAAAAATCTGCAGATTATGAAATTGTATGAAGTTTTTGTTATTATGACTGGCATATTTTAAGTTATTTCATTATCATACCTAGCTTGTTACAAAACTCTGCATTACAATGCTTTCCTAAATCTGGAAACTCCATTCTTTTAAAATTTGATTAAATGTTTGAAGTTGTAGTCACTTTAAGCACAAAAAAATAAATATTTTAAAATTTTGTATCACTTTCTTTATATAGGAAATTTGTTGTTGCTTGCTATTGCTTAAGTTCTAAAATTAGATTACTCCTAAAACATTACATCGAAAAATTAAGAGTCGATTGTTTAGTTGTAAAAAATAGTAGTTTTATTAATTATTAAAAGGTTTATTTCGGTGTATTCCCGTGCTTTTTGATTCTCTCCATGACTGAGTTAAATGTCGTGACAGTCTTCTTCTTATTTGATAAAGTTTTAGGTGTTCTATTAACTGTAAAACTACTTGGCTCGTCTTCAAAATCAAATTCCATATTCTTTGTTTGTCCACTGTGAAAAGTGAGTGAAATTAATATAAAATTTTAATATATATTTATAGCTTAATTAAACAAGTACCTTTCTTTAGGCTGTGTTTCGAAAACTGGAGTGACTTTTTCTTCAACTTTTTGTTGAATATTCTTTCGTCCTGGACATTTCCAATCTAGTTCTATAAAACTGTGTGTCTCAAGATCTGTAAGTATGTCAAGCTATTTATTCATTCTTGTCAGCATAAATCCTTCAATTTTAACATACATTCATAATATTCATTAATTTTCTCTAAGTTCTTATCAAAATCATCGTCAAAACAATTCAAATTAAATGATGATTCTCCTTCTTGTGTCATAAAAACCTTTTTATTTTCTACTGACATGATTTTCTTTTATTAATTTTATTATGTTTTTTTTTATAAAAGTTTTCCACAGTTCTATGTTTTTAATGTTTATGTTTACTAATTTTATACTTCTAAAACATAGAAAGAAAAAAACTATGTTATTCTGAATAATATTTTAAAACTTTATTAACCGTTAAATCTCGTTAAAAAATTGAAAAAATAACGGCCTTAGCACGTGGTCATTATATAAAAAGAAAATATGAATTAATTTTATGCTACACATGCACATCACTATCATAAAATGTGCTCTTTTGTGTATACATTCAAATTATATACGAGCTGTCAGAACAATTAAGATAAAAATTGTTTATTTTGTCAAAAAAAAAAATCAACTCTCATTTCACAACATTGCACAATCTCTCACGATCGTTTATAAAAAGCCATGTATTGGCACTCAAAGAGTTTAGTTTTATTTAAGATATTGACTTTTTTGGTCGACTGTGCTATGTTAACAAAATTAAAAGTACATATTATTTAAAGTGAAAAGGTAAAAAAATTATTTTTGACCTGTGAAAAGTTATTCGTTGTTTGATGTGTTCAAATTTGGAAGTTTGATAGTGCAATGTCAACTACAAATCGCTCTTATCTGCTAAGAATTTTAGTTATTGAAAGTCTAATCAGAAATGATTGAAATGTACTTGAAAAAAAATACTCAAAATTGACCTTTTCAATTGATTTGTTACATACATAGAAACAAATTTCAGGGAATACGTTTCTTGAAATTACTTTTTATGGCATGTGACATTGAACTTTAATAGAAAGTTTTGTGTACTGTTACTAGTGAGTGATGACTCGCGAAAGAAACATTTTTGAATGTAAATAAATCTTAGCCAAAACTTTAGCGTCATATTGCAGAGTTTGTAGAAGAATCGTGGCAGAGAAGAGAGAATGAGAAATATGTAGCCAATGAAAGTAGGAAGCACGGATCCAATTGATAATTATACTTAAAGATAAAAAGTTTTTACTGTAGCCGCTCATTATTTATTTTTTCTCTTTTCTTGTTCTGCCTCTCTGCATTATACTTTTGTTTATTCGGTGTCTCTCTTAAAAATCAGCTGTTGCTTATCATTTGTTTTATTAGATATTTTTTTAAGATTAAAGTACTTACGCTAAACATCTTCCTTGTTTTCACAGACTTTTAATTAAAGTACAAAAAATAAGAAAACATGAATTCTCAAAATCCTAAAATTCAAAAGCCGGCAAATCCCGTAGAAAAGGCTTCGAGGATTAGCAAAATGTCATTTTGGTGGATGAAAGATTTATACAGAATGGGATTGACAAGAGACATAACAGAGGATGATGTCTATAAAAATCTTGATCATCACGGCAGTGATAGAATCGCAAAAAAATTCACAAAAATTTGGAATGAAGAGCTGGAGAAAAAGAACCCTAGTACTTTAAGAATGATGTGCAAGGCTTATGGTGCACCTGTGATTATTATTGGAATGTTATTTTCAATTAGTGAAACAATATTTAGATGTGCTCAACCATTACTTCTCGGCGAGCTTTTAACAAATTTCTCCGATGAAACTGCAACAAAAGAATCTTCATATATTTATGCCACTGGAATTGTACTTTGTTCACTACTTCCTGTTTTAACATTTCATCCTTTTATCTACTATATTTTTGAAGTTGGAATGAAACTCAGAGTGGGATGTTCAAGATTAGTTTATGATAAGGTAAGGGTATGAATTTAATAAAGGGTTGTTCACAAATGACATTGATCGTGGTTCCTCAAATTCTTAAAATTCTTGTTCAGATTCTAAGGATAACAAAATCAGCTCAAGAAGACGGACTTCATGGGAAAGTTATAAATTTATTATCGAATGACTTTGCGAAATTCGATCTTGCACTTGCATTTCTTCATGATCTTTGGAAAGGACCATTCGAGACGATCTTGCTTGGATTCTTAATTTATCGAGAAGTTGGGATATCTGGTGTGATTGGAATAGTTTTTATTTTGTCCTTCATTCCTATTCAATGTGAGTATTATTGATTAATTTCTCAAAATAGTGCTTATCAGACTCTCAAAATTAAAATAATTAGGCACTTTGAAATAAATGCTCAAATTTCATCATTTTTGGGACATATCTCTTATCTTTTAACAGCTTATATTGGAAGAAAAGCAGCACATTTTCGTAATCAGACAACAAAGCGAACAGATGTGCGAGTAAGATTAATGAATGAAATCATAAATGGTATTCAAGTAATCAAGATGTACTCATGGCAAGAGAATTTCGCTCAAGTTATAGACAAAGTTAGAAAGAAGGAAATGTCAGCAGTCAAAGGAAGCAACTATATATTGGCACTTTTATATACTCTTTGGGCAGTTGCTAGAGTTTCATTATTCCTTACTCTTATTACTTACATTTATTCTGGAAATGTGTTAACTGCACGAAAAGTATTTATACTAACTGCTTACTACAATATTTTGAATATGTCTATGGTACATTTTTGGCCATTAGCTATTACTTTCTGCGCAGAAGGATATGTCTCTTCAAAACGATTGCGGGAATTTCTTTTGATGTCTGAGACTAAGAAGAAGCCATTATTGATTATGGAATCCAAAGAAAAAGATGAATTAAAGAAAGATGGAATGTCACATCATCGTATTCATCATGAGATTTCTTGCGATTCACAGAAAGCTATAATTTTAAGAGATGTAACAGCAAATTGGATTAGTACAGATTTAGAAATAACCACAGGACTTAATTCTTTAAACTATGCATTTAAAAAAGGAAATACATATGCTCTTATTGGAACTGTGGGTTCCGGAAAGTCATCATTTCTACAAGCCATTCTTGGCGAACTTGAAATTGATTCTGGGTCTTTAGAAATTTTCGGTACATTAAGTTATTCGAATCAAGAAGCTTTTCTTTTTGAAGGAACTGTCCGTAATAATATTTTATTTACTGAAGAGTTTGATGAGAAAAAATATTCAAAAGTGATTGCTGCATGTGGATTATCTAAAGACTTTGAGCAATTAGAAAGTGGAGATCAAACGTTTGTTGGAGAAAAGGGAGTGTCATTAAGTGGTGGACAAAAGGCTCGAATTAATTTAGCACGTGCTATATATAAAGAAGCTGATATTTACCTTCTGGATGACCCATTAAGTGCTGTAGATAGTGATGTGGGAAATACTATTTTCTACGAGTGTGTAATTAATTACTTGAAAGATAAAACGGTGCTTCTTGTGACACATCAATTACAATATCTTCATCAAATCGAAGATATTTTGGTTCTTGCAGAAGGTCAAATTAGAGCGAGTGGGTCATATGAGGAATTAAAGGATAAAGAAATTGCAAGTTTACTACCAGTTGAAAAATCAAATGCTCAAGAAAAAGATGTTGATGAAAATTTTAAGGAACTTACAAAGCATATTAATGTCAAAAAAGAAGACGAACCAGAACCATATAGCGAAAAGGAGACACAAGCGGTTGGAAAAGTGAGATTAGAAGTATACAAAAAGTACCTAAAGTCAGTACAAAACATTCCTTTAGTGATTTTCGTCTTATTCCTTCGTGTACTTAATCAATCCATTGCATCATTTATTGACTATTTTGTTGCTCAATGGGTTAATTGGGAGGAGTCTGTTGCTAATCATTCTAATAGTTCTGTAAGCATTAATGATACTGTGATATTAAATGCGGATTTAGACGATATAAATCAAACGAGACAGATGTTTATTAATATCTATATTGGAATCATTTGCATCTTCATTTTCGTTATACTAAATGCTGAATTTTCCTTCTTTTATTCGCTTTTAAGGTAAATCATTATTTTCTGTTGTAGTCTTTTATGCCTTATAATTTTTGAATTATTCCAAATTATAGAGCTTCAATTAATTTACACAATTCAATGTTTCGAGGACTAGTCAACACATATATTCAATTTTACAATCAAAATAGTTCAGGTAGAATTCTTAACCGATTTTCGAAAGATATTGGGTCCATTGACACACAACTACCAAACTGTCTTTTTGAATGCATTTGCGTAAGTTATTCTTAATCCAAAAGATGCATCCATAATTACTATGCCATTTTTTTTTAAATAATAATTGCAGTTTGTCCTTGAATTTTTCGCAATAATGATTCTAGTATCACTTGTCAACATCTACTTCACCATTCCAACTTTAATACTGACAGTTTTTCTGGTGGTTTTTAGACAAATCTACGTGAATACTTCCAGAAATATAAAGAGGGTTGAAAGTATTACTAAATCTCCCATTTTTGCACACACAAATGCCACTTTACAAGGATTAAGCACAATTCGAGCTTTGAAAGCTCAAAACGCCGTGACATCCAATTTCAATTCTTACATTGATACAAACACTTCGGTAATTATGTCATTCTCAAAAAATATGCTTACAATATTCCTAATTATTTATTTTTTACAGGCATGGTTTATGTTTTGGACGGCAACAAGAGCTTTTGCTTTTTGGCTTGATATGGTCTGTGTAATTTATATTGCCGTTGTTACTTTTACTTTCATTGAAATGGATCAGAGTAATTTACCTGGCGGGAACGTAGGACTTGCAATAACACAAATTATTGGCATCATAGGAATGACTCAATGGTTGGTACTAAAAATGTCATTAAAACTTTAATTAATTTCTAATTTTTAAATGACTAAAATCAAATAGGGGAATAAGGCAAACAAGTGAATTAGAAAATCAAATGGTTTGCGTGGAGAGAGTTTTAGAATATGCAAACTTACCATCTGAAGTCAGAGATAAAAAACCACCACCTAGAAATTGGCCTACAGATGGAGAAGTTGAGTTTGAAAATGTTTCACTTTATTACAAGAATGAAGAATGTAAAGCTGTAATCAATAAAGTCAACTTTAAGATAATGCCTCGAGAAAAAGTAGGAATTGTAGGTAGAACGGGTTCAGGGAAATCATCGATTATACAAGCATTATTCCGAATGACAAGAATTGAGGGAAGTGTTAAAATCGATGGAATTGACACTCAGCACATTAACCTTTGTGAATTACGTAGAAATGTATCTATTATTCCACAAGATCCAGTTTTATTCTCCGGATCTTTGAGATTTAATTTGGATGCTTTTAATGAAAATACTGACGATGCAATTTGGAAAGTTCTTGAGCTTGTTGAATTAAAAGAGACAATAAAGTCATTGGCAGGTGGATTAGAAACTAAAATATCTGATGGTGGAAGTAATTTTTCTGTTGGTCAAAGACAACTCATTTGTCTTGCACGTGCCTTGCTAAGAAAAAACAAAGTTCTAGTGTTGGATGAAGCCACAGCAAATGTAAGTTCCTATTTTTTTTTTTTTGAATATCGCTTTCAACTATTTTTTGTTTCTTTTTATTAAAAACTACTAAGGTGGATTTTGAAACAGATAGATTGATTCAAAAGACTATTACTGAAGAGTTTGCTGACTGTACTGTCCTTACAATTGCTCATCGTCTTCATACAGTAATAAATTCGGATAAAATTATAGTTATGGAAAATGGCCACTTAGTTGAATGTGGCAATCCTCATCTCTTACTTAAAAATGAACATGGATACTTACGAAAACTAGTTAATCAAACTTCTTTGTCATTGCTCGATGAAGCAGAAAGACACTATCATTTAAAAGCAGATGAAAATAGCCTTAAAAAAATTAACTAGGTTCCAACGTTAATTAAAAATTAAATAGGTTTATACTTAATAAGACATAAAGTGCAAAATTTGTTAAAATTTACTTAGTAAAAACATTGAATTTCAAAGCATATACTTTTTATGCATATCACTTACTTAAAATTTGCCTTCCATAGTTAAGGAGAATAGTACTTAAAACTTTGTAATAAAAACTGCCTTTTTATTTTACTTATTTTATTTATAAAATTAAAAATCATCTATTAGAATTTGTACAGTCTTTAATTTCTACACTTTAGGTCTAAAGTTAATGCTTCTGTAGATTCAATAAGAATGATTTTTTTGATTAAGATTTTCTTTACCCATTCCAATTGGTTCGTTAGAATAAAACAGTTCGGTGTTCTCTATATTAAATTTTAATGAAGCTTTAGACCGTTGAAATACTTTTCAAATAAGCTTTTAAGTTGACCTTTTAGAAGCTTTTCTTAAGTTTAAAGCTTTTTGGATAGATGGCACTACAAGTCATTGGATCAGTTTCAAAATTACGTTATCTACATGAAGAGTTGAAAATGTTTGTAGTTTGTAGTAATTTTCCATGTGCCATCGCTTCCGTAGAAACCTTTTACATTATATTCGATTTTTTATGTGGTAAATATCACGTCTTTAAGCGCAAAATTTCAAATATGAAATAAATAGTTTGTATACCTATGTGTATATATTTTTTGATGCATATACACATTGTTTTTAACATAAAAATCAGATGAATACTGACGATTTAATGTAACTATCCAAATTCATATAAATAATGATAATTTGTGACATCATACAACTTTAATAATTGTGGGAATAGTAAAAGATCCTTAAAGTCATTTCGATATATTTGGTTCATTGATTTTAAGCATGAATGTATTGTTTTAAAGTTTCGAATGATCCTTAAAGTTGCCTGATTAAAGCAATACAGGATTCTTTAAAACTTTAAACAATTCATAGAATTAAAGTCATCGTTTAATGATTGACTTCAACAAAGGGATCTAGAAATAAAATAATAGGAGCTAGATGAGTACCGGATTATTCTTATAAGTAAATGGAAATGGAAGGAGTAGAGAATGAATGGAAAACGCATATGTTCACTTTTTGACAATTGAAAGATTAATATGCATCCAAAAATAGTTTCTTCTTTCCCTAAAACAAATCTTCTTTTTTTCTCATTTTTAGTTGATTCCAATAAGAATCTAAAAGGTGCAAGTTGACATTCTTTTAGAGAAATGAATTTAAAAAAAAATGTTCAAGATGTATGAAACGCATATTGTGTGCATCGCAAACGTTCAAAATAATATTCAATTTGAAAAATATTTATCGTTTTTTTCCCTATATGAAATTTCTTTAAGGTCTCTTTTGAAAGCATTTTGGCTCCAAATAATTTTTTTTAATATTTTTTTTTTTCTTTCTTTCTCTTCTCTGTTTTGAATTCAACAGTAACAGTCTGGCTTTGAATCGAATCAATGCTTGATTTTATTTTTATATGTTTCGAAGTAAAGTAAAGGAAAAACAACCGTAATGATGAAGAAAAGAAAAGAATGAAAAGAATACACACATTTTAAACTTCTCCATTCCTTTCCTCTTCAGATAGATGAAATTCATAAGTCGTGGCATTCAGAGAAGTGGAAAAAATGTATAGAGTAAGCAGTATTATAAAACAGATATTTTTATATGGTAGAAAATCGATTCCATAACGATGGAGTGTAGAAGTATATATTCATTTTCATGTGCTATGTGTTGTTGTTCCCTTGCCGTCGAAATTCATTCGTTCGTTTCATTTTGTGGAGTTTCAATATACGCTTTTATATATTTTTTCCTCTGCTGCCATACAATACATTCATATCATACAGCAGAAATTTTTTTTTTTTCATTTTCTTCTCTATATTCATTCTGTGCGACTACCGACCGACCGACAACGATGAAACCGAATGAACAAAGTGAACGAATGAAATGTCGGGTGTAGAGAGAGAGAATGATTATATGAAGGCAAAAGCAAAAGGCAGTCAAGAAAACGAGAAAACGAAAATGTTCACAACGCTTATTCACTCTATACAGTATACTGAATACTCTATACCTACATCTATACACAACAACATTATTTTATTTTATATTTTTTTCCCTGAAACATTTTTTCCTCTGTTCGTTCGTTCGACTTACTCGAAAACGGGTCTGAAGTAAAATAAAATTCAATGATGTATCAGTATAAAATTGTGCATTGCATGTTGTAAGACGTTTCCCAAAGTGAGCTCTACGTTCATAGGCAAAAAGGCATTTATTTTCATAAACAAAAATTGTATCATGCTTAAAATAAGATGAACATGAAATAAAAGAAATTAATTAAGTTAAATATTAACTGATAATCAGACAAGTCATTGAAAAGAAGTGAAATTATTGAAATTTTGTGATTGACAAACAAATTAAATTAACTTTGTGTTTTGGAACTAAGAATAACCAAGAATTTAGTGGACAAATAAGATAAACACAAGTCAGATGAATTAAATTAACAAGAAGACGTAGTGTTATAGTAAAAAAGGACATTTTTTAAAAATGATAAATAATCTGAAGCAAAGATTATCAACAGTTGACGAAAAGATAATAATAGTGAAATAAAATAAGGTAAGTGTTAAGGAACTTGCATGTCATAAAACAGAACGAGAATATTTTTATTTTCATTTATTTGTAATCACCTGTCCATGCCGTTTTCATTCCACTGTTGATAAATGTTTTGATTACGAATAGAAGAGGAACAACAGCAGCAGCAGTGTAGGAAAAAGAATCGTGTATCTGCAAAAAAAAAAAATTGATATGTATTTATATTTTTTCCCTCTTGGTTCTCTTGATTTCTTCTCATGCCTGCCTTTATGCTCATCATAAAAGAGAGTTCGAGCCACTCTTTATAAATCGCTAATGTACTTTTTCTCATTTTTTTTCTTCCTTTCCTCCCTGTGCATTTTGCAAAAAGGCATTGTGTGTACGAAGGAAAAAAAAATTCAATTTGAAAATGGGGAAGAAAAACAGCATAGCAAGGAACGAGGAACGAAAAGTTTTCATACATTATTGAAAAACATTGAGTTCTTTTTAAGAGAAGGAAAGAGAAAATGAGTTTTGTGTAGGTTGCTTGTGTGCTCTGACTCCGAAATTTGTACTGTGTTGTTGTGGCTCGGTTTCAATTCCAAAAAGAAACTTGTATATATTTTTTTATTCGGTGCTTGGCTTTGAAAATGTACTTCGTATATCAACATTAAGCAATTCCTCTAATGCATACTCTACCCTCAACTTCTCAATTTTCTTATTAACATTCTCTTTTTTTTTAATTATTGTCGTCGTCGTCGACGACTTCGTCTCTCTATTTACCTTTTTATTTCACTCGATTTCGCAGTTGTATAACATGTTTTTCAAAGGAAAAATGAACACACAAAAAATCTCACATATACAAATTTTCTTTCAAACTTGAGCGATTTATTTGAAAATAATTGAAAGAGATTCAAATTGATCATATGCTTTCTGTGTATTGACTGTTGTTTTCCTTTTTTTTATAAAAAAAAATTATTCTTCATATCAAGTCATTCTCTTCTTCGCTCTCAATAATTTTAACCCTTTCTCGTCTTGTTCTCTTTTTGCTTCATTAATTAAAGTCATTTGAAAAAAAAAAATATTGTCTGATTTTAATTCATTGAATTAAACGAGACGAGTATACGCGCCAATTTTTTACTTCTCTTTCAACTCTTATATTGCCTATTCTTCTACATCAGACTAATTCTTTCAATATTGAAATTTTCCATTCTCATTATTTCCACGATATTGATATTTTCATGAAAATGCGGACGGATTGATTATGATGATCATTATTTTTTTGTTCCGACTTATTCGTGCAAATTCATACAAGACTCTTCAGAACAGATAGATTTCAAAACAACTAATACGTCTGAGCGAATTCAGCAGATATGAGCTAATTCAGCAGAATTCCAGTTCAAACCACTTTCAGAGAATTTTTAATAATTTTATAGTGTGTCATACATTATCTTTATCTGTATCTTCCTGGAATATTATTGCTGCTTTAAAAAAGCTAAGCTGTTGTACGGATTTGACCGTATATATTTTAATAAGACGAGATAGTCTTCAACATTAGATTTTCAATTTTGTATATCTGTCAGTGTGAAAGGAGGATCTCCCCCCAAGTGACCCTTCGCCACACGTTTACTTTAACGCATTAATAAGTTCAGACAATTACTCATTATTCATACTATTAGTTAAAAGTTAAGTCACATTATTCTGCATGCAATAAAACCATAAAAAAATATCCTCACCCATTTATGATTTATAAAGGATTTTTTGTTACTGTAAAATGAGTGCTGCACTTGTTGTTTTAGAAGAAACTAAAGAAAACAAAACAAAAGAACAATATTGGCAGAAAAGATCAAGTTGAAGAAAGGGTGCAATTATTTTGTACATTTTCAATAGCACGATCTCCTTTATTTTTATTTTCTATTTATTTTTCAACAATTGTCCAAAATATCTCCAAATTCTTCAAAATAGGTCCGAATAATTTATTTTTTTATTTACGTCATTTATAAGAGCCACAGCTCGACGTCAACTCAAGTGAATTGAGTCAACTTGAAGTTGATTAAAAATTTTAAAATTCAGGTTTTAACTAGTTTTTTGTCGCTATTTGGTTTAAAAAAACATTTTGAATTGAAAATGTTGTTTTTTGAAAAATTCTGTTGCTCCCGTCTGAACTTTTGGTTTCACAGTAGTGTGTACCAACATATTATTGAAATGTCATCCAAAGATGCATCTTTATAGATTTTAAAATTTTGTATTTTTCATCCGGTAAACAAGCAAGATCAACTTAGGTTGAAACACAAAACAAGATAAATTGTTGAAAAATAAAACAACCTTCCTACAATTTTGGAAATTCCATTAAATTCTTAATGAATTATCAGATATTGATTATGTAAAATTAAAATCAGGACATTTTTATTGATTTCCAAAAAAAGAAGAAACTTATCATTGAAATGTCAGTGACAATTACTTATTCAAATCAAGGAGAACAAAACTCAAGTTAATAACTTTGAGCGCTGAAATTTGTTACAAAATCTAAAAATGTTTACATGATTGTGACGCGTTAAAAGTGAAAACTCTATGAACTCAAAATAAAGCTTTTTGCGTCGATCATAATAATAATAATGATGATGATGACGAATAAGAAAGTTTCTGACTGTAAAAGAAAAATGAGGATGAGGAAAATGAAGGAAAGATATTTTGTCTATGATGAAAATGAGGAAAGAATACAATACGTATTAAAATATTGAGAAAAAAACAAGAGCAAAGCTTCCCCTCATCATCGTCATCACTCGAATATTTGTACATAATACAATGTCGATGATCGTTCATGCATTAGGGGTGAAGTAAGTTGCGAGCGTGTTTTATCTTCACCAAAGTTCCTTCATTTTCCTCTTCTTGTTTTTTTTTCTTCTTTATTTTTGGAAGCAACACAAAATTACGTCAAACCACAGCCAAAAAGCTTTCGGCGCACAATAAAATTCAATATTGCCATTCATTTGATATGATTGTCGTTCATACTTAAAAGTTTTTGTTTCTTTAAACTACACATTTCTCAGCATTGCGTGTCGAAAGAGCGGGAGAGAGAGAGCATGTCATATACAAAAGCATTGGTTGGTGATTCAAGCGCCGATTTCAAGCTAATTTTTTCATTGCCTTACGTTTGTTGCTTACTTTCGTCATGAAATGAATAAAAAAAAATACAAATAAGAGACTTGAGTCATGTTTCAAAAAATACTAACGTACAAATAAAGTTTCTTCATGAAATTCACGCAGATTTACCCCAATTGTGACGAGATCTTTTCATCCTACATTTGTTCCAAATTATAAAATTTTTGAAAATTCTAACCGAGAAAATGTTTATGGATGTGTAGCTAAGTTTAATTTTTGTAATTTTCAAAAAAAAGAAGTTAAGTAAAAGAGGAGTAGGAGGAGGAGGAAGAAGAAGTAAAAATACGATAATAACCTCCTAAACTCAAAATGTATATCAAGGGGTGGCAAATAGCATAGAAAGAGAAGTTTGTGCTTCTATATGACGACGACGATAGAAGAATTAGTAGGAAGAAGGATGTTGAATTGGAAAGAGAAGTGTGGAGTAAAAATAATGAAAAGAAGAAGGAACAGAAGAGCAAGAGAGAAGGAGAGAGAGAATTACAAGAATATAGGGGTGAAAGCAGGGCTGTCGAGAGGGAAGAATTATGTTGAATTTCCACTCTTCTTCTTATTTCTTGCTATACGACTAGATGTATTTTATAGAAGGGGATGAATGAAATTTCGGTCCCCTATTTTATTTTATACTGCTGCTGCTGCATTCATTATTTGCCTGATTTTCTCTACCAAACAACTCTGTAGAAATATATTGAGTCAGTGACTCAGTATTTCTGTCTACCTACATTCTACAGCGACCCATCTAAATGACTGAATGTATATAGCATTCTCTGTATGCTGTCAGTGTCGGTCTTTTTGTATTTTCTTAGAACTGTTCACAATGTTCGGATCGTTCGTATTATATTCCATGTTTGGCATCAGATGATTGTGTGTGTGTGTGTGTGTGTACACCAGAATGTGAGCAAGTGTGAGAGTAAAACATTTTATTTATACATACATAAAAGATATATACGTATATAACTATCAGGAATGATCTGACATTCGGAAAAATATTTGCAGAATTGAATTTAGGTTTTTGAACATTATTAGATTTTAAGTACTCAAATTCAAAAGAATTCAATGCTTTTGACGTAAAAAGTAAACTTGTTTGTAGGAATTCATTATTAAGTTGATTATGATAAATTTGTATGCTAGATATTTATCACTCAAATTTTAACTAATTTCAAGTTTTTTTACATCAATAACTGCACATTAGCTAGTCAAAAATTTAACAAAATGAAATCCACAAAATCAAGTCAAAAATAATTATGAACAGTTAAAAATAATTTCCAATTTTAGAGCATTTTTGCTAAACTAAGACCATTCTTTATCGCTACATGTCGTACAATTTTCATTCCAATGTTTCAGCATTGAAGCAGAGTATACAAAAAGTCCCTGCAGAATATATGTATTAACTGTAACTAGGCAACATGTTTTTGCCACAGAATGTGTCTCTCAGTACCTTCCTTTCCTTTCCATTCCATTATATTATGTTTTGAACACACATAGTAGAGTAGAGCATCTATATAAAGCGGTGGATAGATATAGATAGATAGATATATGGTATGTAAATATACATACATCTATATATGTACGAAGTACATTGCTTTTGCCTATGATGAGTTTTCAGGACATGCGTGTATCCGCTCTTTTAAGGGAATGAAAAAGCATAAGAAGAAGAGGAAACATACACAAGATGTAAGAACTTTTTATGAATTAAATGTTTTACTCACGATTAGAAGCTCCTTTCTTATTTTCTTTCATCATTTTCATGCTTTTCCTTTCCACATCTCTTCCTCTTCTTCTTATTCATGACATTATTGTTATTTTTATTCTTTTTTGTCTTTACTTTATTTCGTGAATCATAATTTTTTTTTTATTTTCCTTCTTTCCCATCATCACCGTTT